CATGGCTCAACACAGTGAGATTCCCCGACAAAGTCCCCATGCTCCTCAAAGCCCCTTGGCCACTCTCATCAGGCAAAAATCCAAGTTTAGGCCCAGACATTCTACCTTAATTGCTATCTTCCCCAGAGACTTTGATTTTTTAAAAGGAGAATCACTTAAAGAGCTGTGATGAACCCTAAAGAATGCTGCCACCATCAGGCATAGGCCATGTGGGCAGAGAATGTGTTTTAGGGCAGTGACTCATGGTAAATTTTCCCCCCAGTTCCCAAAAGGGACTATTCAAAGCCCCCCCAAACCCAAGGTGGTAAAAGTGGGGGGATGGGGAACCTAGGAGTGCTGTGAGGTGTCTTCATTATATATGTTGGAGAGTTTGGAGCTTGCTATAAAAAGTGATGGCCCATGGCTCTCCAAGATTGCCCTCACGAATTACAACAGATGTTTTGTAGTAGTTTTAAAAAATCTATCTCCATGGTACTTATGCACTGGTAAGTGAATGAAGCAAGGTTAGTATAATGTGCATCGTACGTGACTGTGTGTTGTGTATTATCTGTACAAAATTGGGGTCCCAATATAGTAATCACTAGCCACATACCAATATTTAAATATAAATTTAAATTAATACAAATTAAAATTTAAAAGTCAGCACCTAAGTCACACTAGCCAAATTTCCATTGCTCAATAGCCACATGTGCCTGGCTAGTGACTGCAATATTGAACAGCAATGGTTAGACATTTTCATCATTATACGGTTCTCTTTTTAGCAGTCCAAGGGTTTAAACTCAGGCTAGCACTTGCTAGGTCTACTGCTTAAGCCCAAAACCCCAGTTTTTTCTTTAGTTAATTTTTGGATAGGGTCTCGCACTTGTTGCCTGATGCCAGCCTTAGACTGCAATCCTCCTACCTATGCCTCCCATTAAGGTGGGACCAAGGCACCAACCACCACACCCAGCTTATTTGTTGAGATGGGGTGGCTCATTAACTTTTTGCCCAGTCTGGCCTCAAACTGTGATCCTCATGATCTCTGCTTCCTGAGCAGCTGGGATTACATCATCATTACAGTTCTGATGGACAGTGCTACCATAGAATATCTCTGGAGGGACATACAAGATACTGATAATGGTGGTTTCCTTTAAGGAGGGCAACTGGGAAGCTGCAATGACACATAGGTGTGCCCTTTTGTATATACCTTTTGAATTTTAGGTCATGTATTTGTATCAAGTATTTGAAAAATTATTTGAAAAATAATACAAATTGGGAATCCCTTCTAGGAATCACTGTACTGGGACAATGGTTCCCAGGAAATTACTTTGCAATTTGTCTATAAAATAAGTTAGTAGATTTATGATTTCACATTTAATTTTTTTCACAGCTTAGACTTTTTAGCTCCTGCCAACCTCTCTGCTCTTAGAAACTCACAAGTAAGAAGTGAATTAGTACTAGTAGAGGGATGTTAAAGGAAAAACTCACCAACTTTCAGGCAGTTAGCATTTTTTTTTCCCTGACAAATTGTGATTGTATTCCATGTGAATAAACGGCAGCCATAGTTCCTGTTTGTAAGGGTGTTCCTGGTTCTACAACAGAAATAATCTCCAATCACTCCACCTCCTGAGCAAGGTTGGAATCAGTGAAATAGGGAATGGGGCTCTTGCTTGGAATGAACCTGTACTCAGGCCAGTTAAGGTAGGAATGGGATGGGAGGACCTTGCAACATGACTAGGCTCTTAGAGAAAGAATGCACTAGATTGAAGGGGCACAGGGAAGTACCTGTTGCCCTGCTCAAAAGTTAACCTCTGGAGCAGTGATAGCAGTGATTCCCAACCTATAACTGCAGATCCTGGGAGGGCCTGAGAGGGCCTCTGAAACCCTGTGTGCCACAAGCACTGTTTGTAAGGCAAATAAATCCTGTCCGTCTCCAACGCTAAAATTTTTACATCACGAATAGCAATCCTATTTTAAGTATAAATTTACATGTTATTTAAACCTTACAGCTGCCTGGGAGGTCCATCTTATTCTCCCCAAATAATAGATGAAGAAATTGGGTAATAACTCACCCAAGCTCAAAAAATATGTCAGTTCAGGCTCTTTATGTTCCATGTGAAAGAAATCTACTTGCTTAAACAAAAGATGTCAGCCAGACATGGTGGTACATGCCTGTAATCACAGCACTTGGGAGAAGGAGGAAGGAAGATCTTAAGTTCTAAGCCAGTCTAGGTACACAGCAAGACCCTGTTTCAAAGAAACAAACAAAAATAGTGCATAATATATCAGATCATAACAATTACTTATTAACTGTCTTCGAACCTTGATCTTCCTGATCTCTGCCTCCTGAGACACTGGTGCCCAGCAAAAGCACTGACTACTTTCTTGGGCCCATGAATTAACTAAAAGCAGTAGAAAAGTTTGGAATCTGTGTCTCCATGTTGTATCTGTGACCTTTGCTCTGAGCCCTTCTCCCCTGTAGTTACTTTGTAAACACCTTGGCATCTAGGAAGGGCAGGACTGATCAAAAACATCTTTACAAGAAAGGAAGGAGGAAACTACAAGAAAAAACACCAGAGTCTCCACCTGCCAAGCAGCACTGCTTTGCTCAGCCTGACCAGATTTTTTCCCCTCAAGCAATAATCCCCTCAGCCATAATGTCTCCAAAACCCCCGAGAATGATCAGCCAGGCCATACTTTGACCAGGACTATTTATTTACTGAGTTATTTTTGGTAGGACTGGGGTTTGAACTGAGGCATTGGTGTTTGCAAAGCTGGTGCTCTACCACTTGAGCCATGCCTCCAGTCCATTTTGCTCTGGTTATTTTGAAGATGGGGCCTGGAGAACTATCTGCCTAAGCTGGCCTCAAACCTGGATCCTCCCTATCTCAGCCTCCCAAGTAATTAGGATTACAGGCATGAGCCACCAGTGCCCAGGTAACCAGAACTATTTAGTAATTATGCGTACCTTTCATGCGCTGCCCCAATTCTTTTTCTGTTTAACCCAAAAGCTCATGCCTATACTCCAAAGACAGGCTGAATACCCTGCCTCTTCCTGAGGTGCCGGAGCAGCATAATAAATCTTTCTCCGTCTTCATCATTACTCATCTCTTTATTTGGTGTGTTGGGGCAAGTGGCTGGACCTGACATGTGGAACCCCTGGAGTTGGGCTGGGGGCCTAAGACTTTGGTTTCAACACATCAGGGAACCCTAGGGCTTAAAGCTGGCTGCATGAGTGGCTCGTGCATCTTTCTTTATCTGGCTCTCTGCTTTCCTTTGTGATGGCTTTGGCCTTGGGAGGACTCTAGCCCCATAACTGTAAGGTTGGTAATCAGAAATTCCAGCTCTACACTGAAGTCCAGGAAATAGCGCACAGAAAAGCTGCCCTCAAAGGGGCTCTGATTGGTCTGTTGGACCATGGGTCAGGAAAGGGAAGGCACTGACTGGCTTGCCATAGTGCACATCTGGGGCCTTGAAGGAGGGCCCTTAAATCAGTAACTCAAACCCACCACAACTGCAGGGAATGGAGGAGGCTCATACCAAAAGTAAAATAAAGAGGAGGTTTGGTTGTAAAAAGATAAGGGGATGGATAAGGGATGGAGGACCAAAAACTGAAGTTGGATTGAACTAACCTTTAAGCCCAAAAAGCAACAGTTTTTAAAAACATGTTCATAGATGCTATGAACCTGAAAACCTCTCAAGTTCTCTTCTCCGAACTTGAGATTACTTTATTATTGTTCAAGTTGCATGAAAACATGAGATTGTTTTTTTCCCTGGAGTTTGCCTGGTGGGATCACAGTCCATTGTGGAGAGTGGAGTATGAGAAGCCTATGAGAACTTGACATGAGCACAGCCATGTCAATCTGCAGGCTGGGGTCGGCACAGCCCCCAGCTGCAGAAGGGAGCGAGAGCAAAATGCCGCACCGTTGCTTTATGTAAGAATAAGGATGTTTACACCATGACTGCAGACAGCAACAGTATGTGCAGAAAGTAGCAATCACAGGTTTCTCCTGTTCCCAATAACTACAAGGTCATGCTACTGACTTCGCTATCCCACTTCCTTGTTTGCCCCTGTACATAATAAACTCGCTGGAGGTGGTGGAGGCTGGTGTGTGTCTCCACCAGAGCACCCAGTCCACCTGATCCCAGCTTTCTGCATGTTTGTCTTTTGTCCTTTCTCAGTCTCCCGTTGCTCCAAGTTAGGTTGCTAGGACGAACTCGTGCAGGTTGCAAGAATCCATGAATGAAATTGTTTGCAAAAACATGGAATATATATGTGCATTTGTGCATGTCACTCTTGTCCCATCCCCACCCCCATCACACCCAAGACCCACGCCGTTCTGCACTTCACAAAAGCATGTAGAGTAAGATGAGAAGAGGCAAGCACACCTGCAGACTTCAGAAAGACCGGGAGCCTGGAAAGTAAGAGACCAGCACACAAGGGCTCCTGATAAACAAGAGGTTATTTTGAGGGGTTCCCCCAGCTCCAAACACTCAGTAGCTTTGCAAAACTTAGTGGAATAAGAGAGGGACATTAAATGCTCGATTTGGGGGCAGAAGCATGCTTGTGCCAAGTCACCAATGCTCTGGCTGTGCCAGATATACTATTCCAAGGTAGCTAGATGTCTGTAGAAAATCCTTTACTTCCAGCATTGCTTAAAATGGGTTCAACGGGGGAGAAGAGAAGGAAAGGGTGCAAGAGAGTATGATGGAAATATGTACTTATGAGACCTATGGAAACTATTCCAGGAATTGGGGGAGGGGGATACATGAGAATGATGGAGGGGGTGAATTCAACTATGGTATATTGTAAGAATTTTGTAAATGTCACAATGTACAACTCAATTCCCTCTGAATTTATTTCCTCCTTCCCCGTAAAATGGGGATAATCTGAAGATATGAATGTGAAGCTCTGGCAGCTAATGTAGCGATTACTGACTAATAACTGTATTTGAGAGTTTTCTTTTGGTAAGTGTCTTTTTAAATTTTATAGATCTATGTAACCAGTAAAGCAGTCTCACCTGATATTGGTCTACAGAGTTGGCAGGGGAGGAGGCAAGCAAGAAAAGACAAGTGGAGAATATGAAGCTCTGCAAGCAACCTTTATCTGGTCTACACCTGTAAATATAATGGTGATCAATTAAAGCCTCTGGAAGTGTTAAAAAACAAAAACAAAAAAAAATGTACCTGTACCCCGAGTACAACAACAACAAAAACCAAGGGTGGTTTAACAGCAAAAGAATATCGTTTGTATGCATTTGTAATCTTCCCGCTCAACTATCAGCTGTGTTGAACCCACTCAACTCACCTAGCCTAAAACTGAGGAGGGGAGGTTCTCGCTCCTGCAGAACAGGCAGCCCCCAAACAGGGAGGTGAGGGACGCCCCTAACAGCTGCTTTGATAAATCGAAGCAGAGACACAGCGACAGCTCCCTGCAGAAGTCACAGAGGAGCTTGAACTGTTCACTCACGAGTGCAACCTTCGGCCGAGGGAAGGTTGGTGCCAAGGCCAAGCGAGGTGAAGGACTCAGAAGCCAGGAGTCGTCTGACGCAGAACTGCTGGGAGCAGGCTGTGCGGACGCGCACTGGGCGAGTGCCCCAGCCTTCCGCCCGAGGCTGGCGCCCTGGGAACCCGGGCGACCGCACCTCCAGGCTGTCGAGCGGTTGGCCCCGCCCCGCGGCTTCTCTGAGCTCCTCGATTGGCTCTGCGGGCCGGAGGCGGGGCCTGACGCGGAGCCTACGTGATGGCGTCAGGCGCCGCCGCGCCGCTTCCTGTTGTCAGTGGCCCGGAGGCCGTAGCGTCGGCTCGGAGTCTAAGGCACTGTAGCGGCCGGGAGCTCAGCCCGCCGGGTCCCTGCTCCCTGTGGTGAGTTTGGGGTCATGAGGCGAGGAGAGCAGCGTAGGGGCGGCGGGGCTGCGACGCGAAAGGGCGATAGACGTCTAGCCCTAGCCGCGATCCCAAATCCCTGGTTGCCTTGAGGCACTCCGGCTTCTCAGTCTTCAGCCCTTCCCAGCCCTCTCTCCATTCCCGCCCTAGCCTTCGGCGCTGCTGCTGCTGGCCGGTCCCCTCCATTTTTCCCCATCGTAACCCGACCTCAGCCCTTGCCCGCATGCCCTCCTCACCGCTCTTGCGTAAATGCACCCTCACTCGTGACCCCTCTTTAGCGCAGTTGCAATGCGAACCCCGTCACATCCCTTCACCTCCTCTTACCTCATCCTCACCTCTCAACCCCTCTGGCAAAAAAATGCTCCGCGCTGACCCCTCTCATTGTAGAACCACCACCAAAGTAGGTACCCTGTTGAGTTCACCCCTTTCTTCTTGATAACTGGTCTCAGCCTCACCCCAAGTTTAATGTGTACCTTCTTGTCCTCACAGACTCGCCCCCTAACTTCCTAGTTCATCATGTAGATCTTTTCCCTCTCTTACCATCCTGAGGACACCCGCTTCCTAAGTCTTTGCTAAACTGTCCCCAACTCTTGTTGCCTCAGTTCCTACCACTTCCTAGTCTTGTTAACAGAGAGATAGATCTCCATGTCCTGTCTCCTTTGCTGTCCCCATGGCAACTCTTCACCCCAACTCTGTGCCCATTCTTCCCTTGGCCCACCTCTCAATCTGAGAACTTAGTATATAGCCTCTGCCAGCCCCACCAGTGCCCCTCAACAGCCAAGTCTGGGGGCTTGCTTAGAGCTGGGCAATTAGAGACTGAACTTGACCGGTGTGTGCAGGGCCTCAGTAAATAAATGTGGAGGAGTAGAGATCCCTCCCCTACTGTGATTGGGGGTTTAAGCTGTCCCCTCTGGTCTCCTGTACCTGTCCCCAGGGATTGTTTTTCTGGCATTCATATTAAAGATCTTGTGCTGGCTGTTGGAATGGTAGGTGTCATTCAAATACCTGGAAGGTGAGAGATGGCCACTCATCCATTTATTCAGCCTGGGGCAATGAAAGCCATCACCTCTTTTTGACTGGTGTTCTGGCTCTGGAGGACCTCAGGGAGTGTCACTGTTGGGATTGCTGTGATCACAGAGCCATGTCCATGTGTCTTGTCCTGGCACTTGTCCTGACCCTCTCCCAGTGCTCCTCCCTGCCAATGCTGATTGCAGCTCAGTCCCATTGCTGGGACACAGGGGACATGATGAATGTCAAAAGCATGTTACTTCTTGGGATATGATAGGTGAGCGGGTCACTCAATCCAAGTTCTGTACTAAGTAGGTACAGAACAGGTGGATTTGCTCCCTCTTTTTATAGGTGCTGGGTCACTGAGTGTTAGCTTTCTGGGTTCCGCAAACACAGGAAACCAAATTATCTCTCATTACCTGATGCAGAGGGATGTTCCTGAAGCACTGAGGTCCCAGACTCACAGCATTTATAGTTTCCTGGGGTCCTTTTGGTATATATTTCCTCTGAATTCTGATGACCTGGCAACAAATGATGGTGATGTGTGTGTGTGTGTGTGTGTGTGTGTGTGTGTGTGTGTCTGTGTGTGTGAGATGCTGGATCTTGGGCATGTTAGGCAAGGCTTGTACCACTAAGGGACATCCCTACCTGTGGTGATAATTTTAAAGGGCCCCAAAAGGACCCATATCCATGGTCTCTTTCCTTTGAAAGCTGAAAGCAATTCTATCTTCAATAGATAAAAATTACATCCATTTTGGTACAACCTTTTGAATGGCTTCCACTCTATTGGCAGCTGGGTTAAAGGTCAGTCATTCCACAGCAGGTCTATCACATTAGAATTAGGTGCCTCAACTTACCAGTCTGTGAAATGGACATACCTGCCTTATTCCTGGCTTTTATTTTATTCATCAAGTCACTGAACAAGTATTTTTTGAGCACCACCATGTGCCAAGCACTGTTCTAGGTACATGAAATGCAATGGTGAATAAATCTTGAGGTTCTTGTTTTTATTCATTCACAGTTTGCTTCTTGCTAGAATCCTACAACATATGGGGTAAGATTATGGTACTAGATAGAAGGAAGGAGGAAGGAAAGAATGATACCCAGTGTTTACTGACTTCACAATTCTTCCCCATGAACCCAGGCTATTACTTAGATAGTTGAGGTCTGAGTCTCAGGGTCCTGGCCTTAGGTGACTGAGAGAAGGGCGAATCTGGAGCTTGAGGGCTCTGTCTCATACAGTGGACCTGAGGGAGAGTCGTGGGCCACAGAACTGTGGATTGAGGCCAGAGGCTAGGAATCACAGGCTAGAAGTTTCTCACCCTCCAGCATATTTAATTTGAAGCTATTGCTTCAAAGACCTCTTCCCTCTTCCCCATCTCCAGCCAGTGTCCAAGAAAGGACACTTGTCCAGAAATCCAACTTTCTTTAGGTGGAAGGAGGTGCTGTTTACTCACTTAGCACTCACATGTCTGAAAGATCAGCTGCCTTTCTGAATCAGAAGGTAATTTTGTCATTCTTTTCCAACTGAAATAACATGACTCATCAATTGGTACCATAGCCGGATGGCATAAACACCAGGCTATTCTGAATAGCCAGGAACACACAGGATTCAGGCTGTGGTGAGAAGGCTGTGGGAGTGTCTGGGAGATCTCTAAACAGAAGCAGTTGCTACTTACTGATGGATCGAGTATTTTGAGACTAAAGCCAGGTTATCCATTCCTTCTGTTGATGTAAGTCCCATCTAAGCCATTTTTCTCTTTTCTTCCTTCCTTGAAGCAGAAGTAGACAGAGCATATACAGAAGACAAGCAATATAATCAAAAATATCCAGGGCAATTCCTTCCTGTGTGTTGAACATTTAAGAAAAGACAACTCTGAAACCTGGGTACTGTGGGAAGGTCCTGTGGCTCAGCAGGTTGGGGCTATAAGTGTGTTTGAGGAGACAATGTCTTATTGCTTTCAGGCTTTAATTAAAAAAAAAAAAAAGAGCCTCTGAGTACCTCTGAAGAATGTGTAAGTAATAATTTGCCTGAGAAGTTTCAAACCAAGGATCTGAGACAGTTTGATTTGGTGAAAGGAGGAAGGAAACCTGAGAATTCTATCCCTTACCTGAGGCCTGTTTTTACTGAGCCTCAGTAAAATAGGGATGACCATCTCTCACAAGATTGTTCTAAGAATTCAGTGAGGTTGGAAAATGAGATCAGAGAAGCTCGCTTTGTTCACACTGGAAAGCCATGAAAGGGGTGGACCAATGCCTTGGGTGGAAATAGATTTGGTGCAATTTGGGATTTCCTAAATGGCACGAGTTACCTTTCCCTTCTATCCCCAGTAATGTTGTAGAGCCCCCGTAGTGTTTCTCAGGCTCTTTTTTTACTTCTATCCTTGAAAGCCGTGCCTCTACCCAGTCTTGTTCTTGGGGTCAGTGAAGAATTTCCTGAGGACAGCAAGTGACACCAGTCCCATACAGTGGTAGATTTGGAGTCTGAGCAGCCATGTGGATAGTGGTGCACTGACCCAGCTATCAAGAGATCTAGAGCCTTGGTCAGGTTCCATCAGCATGTCACTGATGGTCACATTCCTGCCTCCCTGAAGTACTATAGCATAGGCATGAATAAGTAGGGTGTTTTGGCTTCCTATAGAGAAAGATACAGGTGTCATGAATTGTGGCCTGATCCCCAAAGTCTTGGTCCTAATTCTGTGAATTGTGAAATGTCTGTTTTGGATTTCTCTGAGCAGCTGGAGTCAGTCATTTTGTGGCTCTTCTCACAGATTTAGGGAACAGTTACTTGTCCCTTGTCAGGGCCCTCTGTCCTCTCTCCATTTCAATTTACTTTCTTATCTTTTCTTTTTTCTTTTTGGTGCTACTAGAGTTTGAACTCAGGGCCTTGCACTTGCTAGTCAGGCGCTCTACCACTTGAACCATGCACCAGCCCTTTCTGCTTTAGTTACTTTTTGAATAGGGTCTCATGTTTGTGCCCAGATTGGACTGCACTCTTCCTATTTATGCTTCCTGCATAACTGGGGTGAGAGGTGTGTATCACTACACCCAGCTTTTATTGGTTGAGATGAGGTCTCATGAACTTTTTGCCCAGGCCGGCCTCCAACCCCTATCTTCTAAATCTCTGTCTCCTGAACAGCTACAGTTGGTAGGATTATAGGTGTGGAACTACCACACCCTGGCCTATTATTTTTCTTTACCAGACTGTTACTTGACCAGAGCAGCCACTAATAGCCCCCCAGTGAATACTCTATTACTCTCAGCTAATTAGTGAATAAGGCTTTAATGAACCCAGGCTATTATTTAGATTGTTGAGGTCTAAGCCTCAGAGGCCAAGGCTTTGTACTGACTGAGGGAAGGGCAACCCTGGGGCTTAAGAGCTCTGCCTAGAGGGGCAGGCCTTGGAGAGAGGTATGGGCTACTCAGTTGTGTATTGGGGTTGGAACCCAGGGTCTTGGAGCCAGAGACGCTAGAGTTTGCCACTGAACTGCACAATGGTAACCTTGGAGGAACCCAGCTTCCAGGACCGGGCATGTTGCCAGGAGTGACTGTGTTTGACTGTAGCACATACACTTTTCCCATTGTTCTCGTGACTGGAATGCGGTTGGGTGGGTGGAATCTAATGTGGTAATGGGTGAGGCAGTCAGCCAGGGTCCAGGGCTCTCCCTGGCAGTCTGCATAGACCCTCCCCATGCACCTGTTTCCCTCTGCATGGCCTGAATTAGGAGGTCCACAGCAGGGTGACTCCCTGTGCCTTGTTTACTCTCTGCCAACCCCAGAGGCCAGAGATTGCCTCAGCAGCCTCGCCTCATTGAGGACCACAGTGTTTCCCTGCTTCCCAGATGTCGTGTTCCACGCTGTTCTGTAAGCCTTGCTTGCCAGACTGGCCTTAATACTCCCTGTACCCCATGCCTTGGCCCCCAGCCAAAGTGTCCTCCTCGCAGCCCACCCTGAGTCCAGCTCTGAGGATGGCACTCTCTCGGGCCTCTGGGGTTTCCCCTCACCTGGGATTGGTGTCACTCAGGTCCAGCAGTGGAACCAAGCCACTATCAGCCATGGCATCTCCAGTACTTCCTTGAGCTGGGACAGCTCCATGTCCTTATCTAGCAGGTGGAGATAATAAAATGGCACCCCTAGGACAATTAGGAAGAGCACAAATGCTGCAATCTAGGTAACATTTCTTGGTTGTGTTAACTTCTTTAGATCATAATTATTTGAAAGCAGACAACCTTAACAGTTTTTTTTCTTGGTGGCACTGGCGTTTGAACTCACTGCTTCATGCTTACTAGGCAGGAGCTCTACCACTTGAGCCACACTGAGGGATTGAATAATGGACTGACTTCAACTATTGGTACCCATATTTCAAGCATTGGCATTCTTTGTAGATTTGGGTGGCTACATCCACTGGGATTACAGATACCATGTATACCTGGAACACATCAGGCACTGTGCTGGGTGTTTTACTTGGTCATACTCTGCCTGAGAAATCTACTGTGCCCCAGCATGCCTTGCTGGTTAGAGGGAAATTGCCATCAGAATCCATGTTGGTCTGTTTAGACTGTCCCTGTGCTGCCCAATGGAGAAGTAGAGTGTGGCAACAGACCCTATCTCCTTTTGAAGCTGCTTAGTTGTATCCACCATCACTCAGCTAGCAGACCCTGGACAGGGACAGAAGTCAGGGGCTGGTGCAGGGCCCAGGCCTTGAATGTGAATTGTGAGCCCTGCTTCCCAGTCCTCATGGGTTCTTGGCGCCTTCAGCTGAAGCATCTCCCTTGTGCCCTGAAGCAGCCTTTGGCTCCCTGCCCCCACACCCCCATCCCACCAGCCCTGGCTTTCTGTGCAGCTTTTGGTGTTCAGAGTCCTTACCACCCACTCATGGCACACAGGGCTCCTCGCCTCCCAAGGACTCAGCCTCTGGCTTTTTCCTTCCTTAAAATCCACTCTCAGTTTTTACTTTTGTGTTGCTCACAGGCCTTTCGGTTGCAGTTTGAGTAAGCCGAGATGACCGCCTGCTGCTTGCTGGGAGGGGACTGTGGTTGCGGGGTGAGTTGGGAGCATGCTCATCTGGCCACCATCTGTCCCTGCAGGTGTCATGTGAGTCTCCTTGCCTAGTGGTGCCTGAGTGGAAATGCTCTCAGTGGTGGAGAATGGACAGGAGCCCCAGGCTGCCATCTCGGTAGGTGGGCACAGGATGATCAAGGGTGGAAAGGGCTGCAGAGGGCTTACCATTGCATTGGCTTTCCTCACTTTGATATGAATGGGCACTGTCCATGAAGATAGCTAGGTAGAGAAAGGTTCCAGCCAAAGCAGGCTCTGAGGAGATCCTGTCCTTCATAGGAGATATCTGCCCTTTTCTTGCTTGTAAAATGGATATCTATGAAAAGCACAGGAGGGATTTAAGGTGGGTTACCTGAAGACCAGAGATTTCTATTCAGCCCTCAGTGCTCTGCCCTTATGCTATGACTGGTTCACAGTTTGCTCAAGACATCGATTGGTCTGAAACAGCTCTTCCCAGGCACTGGTTTGTTGCCCCACTAATGGGGGTAAATTGGCAGCTTACATATACCTTTGAACATTTACCATTTTTTAAACACAGTTGTTTGTGACCAGCTCACCAGAGCTCCTTAGATGCCCTCTCTTGGAGAAGTCCTTTACCCTGGACTGGCCCTGGGCTGTCTTGGGCACTCTGGACTGGCTGTCAGTTTCCTTGGAGAGGCAGGAAATTGGGTAGCTTTTAGGGTCAACGAAAGCCTGAGGTGGCTTCTTGGGGGAAACCAGAATTTCCCTTTCCTCCCCATTGCTGTTCCCTACTTCAGAAAACTTTCTTCTTGAAAGGAACTACAGCCCTCAGAGGTGTGCCTTCCCCTCCTGGCCACTAGAGGGTCAGCTTCACCTGTCTCCTGCTGGCTTTCATGCAAAGACCCTTTCCCCATCCCACCCAGAACTCCCTAGAGCTGGAGTTGAGCCCCCAGTGAGCTCAGCCCCCTACAAGGGCAGCATAGACTGAATCTTTGAGGGTGTGGGCTTCTTGAAGTTGTGTGCTACTTATCCCTACATGCCCTGACCAAAACCTAGCAAATACTCAGAAGTAGTGTTTGTACTTTTTATATAACTACTGATAATATCTTGCATTTAAAATAACATTTAAAATTGGACTTCTTCAGGGTTAAAACCTTCTGTGCTTCAAAGGACACTATGAAGAAAGTGAAAAGACCACAGAAAAAGGAGATATTTGCTAATCTGATAAGGGTCTAGTGTATGCAGAATATATAAAGAACTGTTACAATTCCGTAATAAAAAGACAATACAATTATAAAATGGACAAAGGATTTGAATAGACATTTCTCCAAAGAAAATAAGCAAATGACCAATAAGTACATGAAAAGATCCTCGTTACCATTAGACTCAGGGAAATGCAAATCCAAACCACAATGAGATAGTACTTCATACCCTCTAGGATGCCTATAATCAGTAAGACAATAACAAATGTTAACAAAAATGTGAAAAATTGGTTGGGCTTGGTGGTGCAAGCCTGAAATTCCAGCTACTCAAGAGGAGAGAAAGGAGTATTGCAGTTGCCTGGGAAAAATGGTAATGAGAGTTTATCTCAACAAATAAGCCAGCCATGATGGCACATGTCTGTAATCTCTGTAATCCCAGTTACTGGGGAGGCAGAGGATCACAGTCTAAGGCCAGAAAAAAACAGGAGACCCTATCTAAAAACAAACTAAAGCAATAAAAGGGCTGGGAGCATGACTCAAGTGGTAGAGCACTTGCCTAGCAAGCACAAGGCCCTGAGTTCAATCCCCAAGTACTGCCCCACCCCCCAAAAAAAGTGGAAAAATTGGACCTGTAAGACATTGTTAATGGGAATGTAAAATAGTGCGATCACTTTCGAAAATAGTTTGGCATTTCCTAGAAAAGTTAAACACAGGAGTTTTGTTTGGTTGGTTGGTTGGTTTGTGTGGTGTTGGGGATCAAACCCAGGACTTCATGCATGCTAGGCAAGTGTTCTGTCACTGAGCTATGTCCCCAGCCCAGCACAGGGTTTTATATGACTTAGCAATTCCATGCCTGAGACACCCCAAGAGATTTGGAAAAAAGTCTACATAAGAACTTGGACATGAATGTTCATAGCATTATAGCCAACATTGGGAACAACTCAAATGTCCATTACTGATGGATCAGTAAAACATGGTATATCCATGTAGTTGAATAAGGAATGAAGTACTGCTACATCTTATAGCATAGATAAACCTTGAAAACAGGCTGAGTGAGAGAAACCAGACACAAAAGGTCACATGGTGCATGACTCCATTCATATGAAATGTGCAGAACAGGCAAATATGTAGAAGCAGAAAGTAGACAACTGACTGCAGTCACTCCCAATTCCTTTCTCTCCAGCCCCTGGCGACCATTAATATACAGTGTTTCTTTTGGGAGCAATGAAAATTAGACAGTGGTGAATGTTGCATGATTCTTTGAACAACCATTAAACTCTATAATTTAAATGGGTGAATTTTATGATATGTGAATTGAAGCTCATTTTTTTAAATTTAATTTTCCAAAGAATATTAACATTACTGTTTGAGCTAAATTCAAAATAAAGAGTTAAGTATTTATCCGTATCCTAACAATTCAAATCAATAATCCTAACAATTCAAAATCCTAACTTAATTCAAACTAGTTTTTCTGTAATCCCTTCTAATCTAATGTGTTTGGGGAAAAAAAAAAGCACTTCTGTAATTTTGACATAATTATGATTAAATAACTTTTGCTTTTCCCAAGGATTTTGTGTACAGTTTGTGATGTATTCATCACATGTCTTTACTGTGTGCCAGGCATAGTGCCAAGTGATGGAGACACACAAGGAGCGTTGCCCCCAGTGTGAAGATCAGGAAGTATTATTTCATCTGACAGATGGGGAAACTGAGGCTCAGAGAGGTTAAGTGAAAGGTCTGAGGTGCCCCCGCCGGTTATGACAGAGCTGAGACTGAATGGAAGCCTTTGGCTGCCAGGCCCAGATCTTTCCTAACGTAACCATGCTATTTCCTTGTTGTTTGGCACCGTGCTGGGATCTACCACAGGCCCTGAGCATAGGCTCAGCATGCCCTCTACCGCGGAACCCCACCCCAGCCCTTTTCCATGTTTTTATTGTTCTACAGTGGCACATTCTGTCCCGTAGCTCATCTCTGCAGAATCCCGGCCATGTAAGTTAGCTGGGAAGCCTAAGCCCTGCCCTTCCCAGTCACCCCTAGACATAACTGTGATGGAGCCAGAATTTAAACACAAGATTACATAGCTATAAGTTCACTGAAGTTTGGTTAGAAAACAAGAAGAATCCGCAATGAAGAATATCCAAATAGTATCTTCTCTATGCTGTGTCTTTATTTGTCATAATGTGCAGAAGGAATCTATAGATACACACATTGGTGCGTGCGCACTGTATTTGAACACGCATTGAACGACAGGCCAAGGGTTACATTTTAGGGGCACTCTGTAGGATTGTCCCCTAAAGGTGTCTTCTGTTTGGCACTGCCTAGGTCATCAAGAAGAAACTGGTGGGATCCGTGAAGGCACTGCAGAAGCAGTGTGTGTCCCTGGACACAGTGGTCACTAGTGAAGACGGAGATGCCAACACCATGTGCAGTGCCTTGGAGGCCGTGTTTATTCACGGCCTGCATCCCAAACACATCCGTGCTGAGGCCGGAGGAAAAAGGAAGAAACACGCCTACCAGAAGCCTCTGCCTCAGCCTGTCTTCTGGCCCCTCCTGAAAGCTGTCACCCACAAGTGAGATCAGCTGGAGAGGGTTTGGTTGGGGAAGGAGCTTCAGCGTGGGAACTTGGCTCTTCCCAGCTGTGCGGAAGACACCCTGTGCTGTAGTGTAGAGATAGTGAGACAGGCCCAGAGAATCGACTAGAAAGGTTTATCTCCAGACCAAGCTGCCCAGCCAGCCACTAGACCTTTCAACCCTCAGCCTTCAGGCAAGAGCCTGTGGTTGCTTCCCACCCCAGGGCTTCTGACTTTTTTGACCACACCTGGCAGAGCGAGGCATTTATAAGAGCTTATGTGGCCTTTACAGAAAAAGTTTACTGAACCTGCCTTTGAATATTTGAACATCTGTGTCCTAATTATGACATTCATTATGAGGCTTGGGCATTTTTGTCAAAGAGTGGAGTCCAGGTGGAGCATCTGAATTTCACCTGGGGACCCTGTCTTTGGCCTTGCCCCTAATTGCCTGAGCTTTTGAGCAAGTAACTGTCATTGTGCCTCTAAGGGATATTAAATGCCACCTTCAGCTGAAAGGTGCCTTGTCAGCCTCTGATCTGTATTTCCATGCCTTTTGACACTCCCCTAGGTCAGGTTCTTACCCCTTTACTGGGTGACATTGGCTTTCTAATTGTCCTATCTTATTCTGTGTTTCCTTAGGCCAGTCTGCTGGTACCATGTACTGAGCTGAAGCTAGCTGGAACTCAGCCACACTGTCCAGGGGAGTGTGATCTACACTTCCACACAGGAGGCACGCACAGGGCACTGTGGTAGCTCAGATGAGGGGCATTTATGTCAGACGGAGGCATCTGGGACCTGAGTTTGGTACACCTGAGGTCTGATCTCCTTACCCAGAGCAATCCACCCTATAGTGTACATAGCTGTGGCCAGGTCACTTTCCCATGCAGAAATCATTAGCTCCCACATGCAACCCTGGAGTCTGATTCACTAAGTTGGGGCCCCTGCATCTATACCTGATAAGTTCTCCAGGGGCTTCTGCTGCACAGCCGTGTTGGGAACCTTTGCTCCACATGACCATATCAGTTTAATATTCAAGATCCTCCATTATCTGGCCTTGCTATCTAGTCAGCCACTCTCCCTTCACTGTTGTAATTGTAGTATTCTCACTCCTGTTACAGGCCTGTTGCTTTCCTACCCTTTATGCCTTTTTCCTTTCAGACTATTGTGCCTAGAATGTTCTCCATCTTTGCCTCTGGAAAACCTTCAGGACCCCACTTAGCTGCTGACCTTTCTATGGCATTTTTCTTACTCTAAGCCAGAAATGATGACCCAACTTCCCACAACAGCTCCACCAACAGAAGGGTTGGGGATGTAACTCAGTTGTAGACTACTTACCTAGCATGCATAAGGCCCTGGGTTCATTTCCCCACCATGCAAAAAAAAAAAAAAAAAAAGTAAAAAGAAGAAGAAAAGTTACGTGGATCAAGGGTAGGGACCATGTCTTTACCCAGTATCATCCCAGCTCCAAGGACTTGGAGGCTCAGCAAACATGTCTTGAGCAGATAGTGTCAGGGCTTCTAGATGTGGTTGTAATGAACATAGGGATTATCTTTCATAACACCAACCTCAAGAAGTTGGGACTTATAGTATAGTAACATTTCTATATTCCCCTTAAAACTCTTATCTGAATAGGGTGCCAGCGGCTCACACATGTAATCCTAGCTTACTTGGGAGGCTGAGATAAGAAGGATCATGATTCAAGGCCAGCCCAAGCAAGTAGTTTTAAGACCCTCATCTTCAAAATAACCAGAGCAAAATGGACCAGCAGTGTGGCTCAAGAGGTAGAGCACCTGCTTTGTGAGAGTGAAGTCCTGAAACTCTATTATCCAAGAATGACGTCTACATAAATTTGCAGAAGTTATCATGGGTTCTTGCTAACCTGTGGATAAAAGAACATCTGAAGGATTTGAGGTAGTTTCTTGAAACAAGTCTGCTCTCCCCTTTTGCAGACACATCATCTCTGAATTGGAGCATCTGGTCTTTGTCAACACAGACGTGGGCCGCTGCCGGGCCTGGCTGCGGCTGGCCCTCAACGATGGCCTGATGGAGTGCTACCTGAAACTGCTCCTCCAGGAGCAGGCCCAACTGTGCGAGTACTATCAGCCCACAGCCCTGCTGCGAGACCCTGAGGAGGGCGAGTTCCTCCTTAGCTTCCTGCAGGGACTAACGTCTTTGTCCTTTGAGCTCTCTTACAAGTCTGCCATCTTAAACGAATGGACGCTTACTCCACTAGCTCTCTCTGGGCTTTTCCCACTCACTGAGCTCGATCCTCTCACTACCTCTGGTGCAGAACTACAGCGGAAGGAGTCACTGGATTCAGTTTCCCATTCCTCAGGCTCAGAAGACATCGAAGTGCAGCACTCGAGCCATAAAATCCAGCAGAACAGGAAGCTCACTGCCTCTTCCCTCAGCCTGGACACAGCCAGTTCATCCCAGCTGTCCTGCAGCCTAAACTCTGATAGCTGCTTGCTCCAAGAGAATGGCTCCAAGAGTCCAGACCAATCTGAGGAGCCCATGTCCTATGACTCGGACCTGGGCACTGCAAATGCTGATGATTCTGACCGGTCTCTCCAAGAGTGAGTGCCCTCCTCCATCCCTCTCTCTCTCTCTTCACCCTTCTTTCTTTCCTCTCCTCCTTCTGTCTTTCCTATCCAATGTGATTATCTATCACTGAACTTGACTAGGGTATAAGGAAAGTCAAATTAGATACAGGCGCTCTCTGTAACAGAGGAACATGGCACGGTGTGTGTGGGAGTGGAGGTGAATTTAGAAGGGCTCAGAGTTGGTGCAAGCTCCATCTGTGTCGCTGGGTGCCTGTTAACAAGTCACCTGGCCTGTGAGGCACCTGTAAAATATTATTGTCCTGTTCATCTAGACGGAGGAAACTAGTAGTTCAGAGTGTATTTACAACTTCTAACAAATACAATGAATTATAGCACAGTTGACCTTCTGCGGAGGGGAGGATGGTCACAGGAAGGAACACAAAACTGAGTCAAAACGGAGGGGAGGATGGTCACAGGAAGGAACACAAAACTGAGTCAAAAGGAAACAGGTTTGTGTGGAAAGAATGTGGAGCAGACTTGCTGAGCCAGAGAGGGGAGCTGGTGGCAGAGCCTTTTTCACACAGCATTTTTAAAGATTAATTTTTGAATAGTCTTTTAATGGTTAAAAAAATCTAAAATGTATATCAGGAAAAGTTCCCCATCCCTGTCTCTCATCTACCTTGTTCTTCCTTCCCATCCTTGAGACCATAATTATTAATTTGATATTCTTCCAAGTTTCTATATTTCTATAGAAATATACTACCTCTTTTCCACAAGAGGTAGTATATGTGCATTGTCCTATACTGTGTATTGGAGTTCTTGTCATATCAGAGGATTTTTTTTTTTTTTTTGGTGGGACTGGAGTTTGAACTCAGGGCTTTACATTTACAAAGCAAGTACTCTACTGCTTGAGCCACACCTCCAGTCCATTTTGTTCTGGTTACTTTAGAAACAGGGTCAAGGCCCAGCTGGCCTTGAACCATGATCCTCCTAGTCTCAGCTAGAATTATAGGTGTGAGCCACTGGTGCCTGGATCTTCACTCTTTTTTGCATTTAGTTCTGCTACATGAATGGCCTTAATTTATTTAATCAGCTGTGTACTTAATGGACATTGGAGTTCATTGCTTCCATAAGTAACCTTATATATGTGGTCTTTCAGTTTTATGTAAGTATCTCTGTTCAGCAAAGCCCCAGAGACAAAATTGCTTAGCCAAGGAAAAATTGATTTGTAATTTTCACAGATATTACCTATTTACACTTTATCAGGAGTGTCCTCTTGTCCTCTCAGCCTTACAACAGAAGGTATTATCAAACATTTAGATGTTTGCTTTTCTAATAGGTGAAAATGATAATCTTTTGTTGAGAGCCTCCTTCATGTCCCAACAGCCCAGTATCAGTCTAGGACCTTTCTCCACTCTTGCTATTCACCCCCCACCTTGGTTCAGGTCTTTTCAGAGCTGCCACCCAGCATGGGATAGCACCAGGATTGGGTGGTGTATGGACAGGGCTGAAAAAAGACCTGTTTTCAATGTTTTTCCACCACTTACAAGTTCATTCATGTCAGGCAAATTGCTGGCTCTTTCTGAAGCTCTGTTGCTTCATCTTTAAAATGGAGACTCCCTCATAGGGCTGTTGGCAAATCATGTCAAATGCCTGTTAGTGAGCTGCACATGTAAGAATGTCTAGTAAGCTCCAGAGATGGCTTCTGAGCACTGAGCCCCCGAGATGGCATTTTTGGATGTCAAACAAGGAAGTTAGAATTCGTTAGGGAGGAGCAGTCCCTCCAGAGATGGCTGGGCCCATGGCGTGACTTAGGCTTGCTCACCTGTCTCAGCTCTTTGTGGGTCCCTGCCTCCTCCTCAGACCAGCCAGCTTCTTTGTCACATGCCTCGCCTTTATCTCTCATAAGTCTTATGATTGGAAAATTCCAGCTTCAGGTCATTGAATGAGTAACCATCCACCCTGTACAACAAGCATTTTCCTGGGTCTGATGGGGAAACTCAAGGGACGAGGGTCAGAATGTATAGATGAACACTGGACAATGATGTGAACAACTTGTAAACATTAAACACACAGAAGCACAAACACATGCCCACCTCCATCGTTCTTAGAGCTGGGCTCAAAGTTAGTCTGCATATAGCAAGACTGGCATTTCTTAGAGTGTATGTTTTAAGGATAAAAGATGCTCACTGGCACGTAGAGTTCACTTATGTTATTGTTTTGTTTTGTGGTACTGGGGCTTGAACTTGGGGCCTTACGCTTGCTAGGCAGGCACTCTACCACTTGAGCCACACTGCCAGCCCTGGTGTGTTTGTTTTGTTTTTTGAGACACAGTTTCCCCATGTAGCCCAGGCTCACCCTGAATTGGTACTCTCCCTGCCTCAGCCTCCCAACTGCTAGAATTACAGGTGTGCACCATTGTGTCTGGCAAGTTATTAATATCCTTATTATATTACTTAAATATTTACAACTTAAAGTGGGCATAAATACTTTATGCTTATTGTTGCCCCTGTAAAATCAAAACACACCTGCAAATTGAGTTAAGATGTGTAAAGGGCTTCGAACAGTCCCTTAGGACATCATGAGTGCTCAATAGGTGGTTTTATTGTCATTTCATTGCTAGGTACTTATGACATCAGTTCTCCCACTACTTGTCTTTACATAAACTGCTGAAAAATCTTTGGTTGTCATTATTTGTCATAGGTGATTGTCATGAAGCTTTCCCATGGGGAACATGATTCTTAGCATATTGCCCACCTCTGTGCTTTTTACAGTGGCCCTTGCCTGCCTAAAAGTACCATGTTCCGCCAACACAAGGGTCCTGTTTAAGAAGACCTGAGCTCTGCCTCACTTGGCAGGACCGCCTTTAAGGAGGTTCTCTGGGCCATGCTTTTTTAGTTATTATTGTACATATACACTTAGGAACACATATATAAGACATATTTTTTTCAGATTGTTTCTAAATGAAAGCACATTTTAATTTTTTTTTTCGGGGCTGGGTATCAAACCCAGGGTGTTGGACATGCTAGGCAAGTGCTGTACCACTGAGCTATAGTCCCAGCCATTTAAATTTTTGGAATAAAAAGTTTTTTGAAAATTCTGCACTTAGCCAAATAAAGTGGAAGAACTATAACCATTTCATTTTTGTTGTGTTTTCTTCAAAACTTTAAAAATCACTTTTTTTTTTTTTTTTGATGGGACTGGGGTTTGAACTCAGGGCTTCATACTTGCAAAGTAGGTGCTGTACCACTTGAACCATAACTCCAATCCTAAAAATCACTTTCTTTTACACTTCATTCAAGAGTCTCATCTCTAGCTAGCATCTTTTTCCACTTGGTGCATGTCTCACTTAATTTCATTGGGCCTTGAACACTGGTACTGATTCTGGTGAAGCTCTGTCAACTTGACTTCACCTTGACCTTGGGTTTGATTTAGTGGAAGCTCTGATTTATTATACAAACTTCATGCTGTCTGGCAGCATTTCTTTAGGCATTATCACTCACTTATACTAGTACCCAACTTACTTGTCATTACAATCTTTCTCACACATTTGGATTACTTATAACTAATGAACACTCTCATGAGGCTAGTATTTTCATAATTTGACTTTTTCCTCTAAATATTTTATTTTACACGTGGTGGCTAAGTAACCCTATCAGTGATTAAAAACAACTATCACAATAAATTGAGGTTAATATTACTGAGTGCTTAAGCACTCTAAGCATTTTGCCTATACTATCTCATTTAGTCTTTGTGGCAGTCATAAGAGGTTGGTGCTATCACCATTCCTGTCTTGCAGATGAGAGAATTGAAGTCCATGAACTCAAAGAGCCTGGGGTTGTACACATAGCAGTGTGCTAAGTGAAGTCAGGTGGACTCGGGAGTTCCCTGCTCTTAACCATCCACTACTCTGTCTCCCAGGTGCCCTGGAGGAACTGAGACTTACTGGGTACATTTGCCAAATATCTGCCTCCCTGATTCATTTTGGTGTGGCCCATTCTGCCACAGTGGTTTGGGCTGATACAGTAGGTTAGCAAATGTTCTTTCCTTCTTTGCCTGTGGAAACTAGCCCTCTGTTTTCAGAACTCAGCATTGCTCATTCCCTGCAAGTTGCACTCTTGGATTGTCGTTGATCTGTTTTAGAGTGAGTGTTTCAAGCGAGAACCAGCACCTGCCACCTCCCCCCATAACTATTTGTCAAACACCTTTCCATCTTTGTCTGATTGGTCACCTATTTTTCTTTTCTTTCTTTGTTTCTGTTTCTTTCCTTTTGAATTGATTTTTATTAGCACATATTAACTATACAAAACAATTATGCGTTTGATTGTGACACCTTCATACATGCATATAGTGTACCTTGATTATTTTCACCCCCACAACCCTCTGTTGTCTCCCCTCCCCACTCCTGCTGGCTCCCTTCCTCTTCCCAAATAGTCTCCCTGCTACTTTCATGTCATTTTTTTTTTAAATCTAGATTCTGCATATGAGAGAAAATGTGCAATTTTTGTCTTACTCAGTCTTGATTATTTTGCTTAACACAGGAATTTCCAGTTCCATTTTTTTCCCCTGTTACTGAGGATTGAACCCAGAGCCTTGCACATACTAAGCAAGCACTCTTCCACTTGAACCATGCCCCCAGCCCTTTTGTTTGTATTTTGTTTTTGAGACAGGGTCTCCTCTGTTACCTTTGCCCAGGCTAGCCTCAAACTCATAATTTTCCTGCTTCTGCCTCCCAAGTAGCTAGGATTACAGACATGAATCACTGTGCCTGGCTCATTCTTCTTTGTGGCTGAGTAATACTCTATTATATGTATACACCACATTTTCTTTATCCATTCATCACTGATAGGCACCTAGGCTGATTCCATAACTTGGCTATTGTGAATAATGCTACAATGCACATGCATATGCAGATATTTCTTTTGTAAGCTGACTTTATTTCCTTTTGGTACATACCCAGGAATGATATGACTAGCTCACATGTTAGCTCTATTTTTAGTTTTTTGAGGAACCTCCACACTAATTTCCGTAGTGACTAGACTAAGTTATATTCCTACCAACAGAGTATAAGGGTTCTTTTTCCTCCACACCCTCCACCTTTTATCAAGATAGATTCCTATACTATAAACATCAGCATTTTAAAGTGTATGATTTGGTGCTGACTAGCATATTCACAAGGTTGTGCAATATCATTGTCATCTGATTTACCAGCCAGGCACCAGTGGCTTACACCTGTAATCCTAACTATTCAGGAGACTGAGATTGGGAGGATTGAGTTTGAGGCCAGCCCAGGCAAATGATTCTTGAGACTCTATCTCAAAAATACCTAATACAAACAAAAAAAGGGCTGGCAGAGTGGCTGAAGCGGGAGAGCACTTTCATAACAAGCCTGAGGCCCCAAATTCAAACCCTAGTGCCACCAAAAAAAAAAAAAAATTGTCGTCACTAAGTAAACTTTTCATTATTAACTATGGGTTGCCTCATATAAATGGAATCATACATCATGTGGCCTTTTGTGGCTGGTTTCTTTCACTTAGTATATTATTTCAGGATTTGTCCATGTTGTAACATGCATTTTGGCTGAATAATATTTCATCGAATGGATCTATCACAATTTATTCATTAATTAATGAACACACACACACACACACTTTTTGGCTATTTACAAGTAATGTTGCTATGACCATTCGTGCCCATGTTTTTGTGTGGACATGTTTTTAATTCTCCTAGGTATATATCCAGGGAAGAATTGCTGGGTCACGTGTAACTTTATGTTCATGGCATACTCACTGATTTTATAAGCAGAAGAAGAGACAGGAAATGAGCTCATTAGAAGGGAAACTTGGATTCCCAGAAGCCTCAGAAGGGGGAGGAGCAATCCCGAGCCAGGACACTTTCCAGAGGCCCAGAAGTATTTCTGTGTGGCATGTGTATATGTGTCCAAAGGCAGTAATGTTGTCTCCCTGTGGTGCCTCTGAGGGGACAAGGAGCTGCAGTCCCACCAGAAAGCTTGAGTAGGTAAACATCTGAGTATAATTTAGCACTTTCTGTGTATAGTTGTGCACACTCTGTGTATAGCTGTACACACTCTGTATAATTATACACACTGAGCTTCAGGAGCAATTTCTGGGGGCATAGGATTTCTCTGACGCCATACCCAGGTCAGCTTTGAGGGGGCCTAGCCCTTGCACCTCATCATGGCCTTACTTTCCCATGACTATCCCATAGACAAAGCATGCCCTCACCTCACCCCACCCCTGTTCCAGGGAGCAGTATTATGTCTTGGCTGCTTGACTGTTGGGGAACCTAACAGACACTGTCAGTTCCTGGATGCTCTGCCACAGATGGTGTTGGGAAGCAATTACCCACAATTGGGCAAAGGCCCACAGTTAGCCTGTTCAGAATGGCGGTCAGGACCCACTTGCATCATGTGCTTATTTCCACTATGTGAGTGTTTCTTCTGAGACCCCAGGCTCTACAGCTCACCCACCCACCCAGCCCTAAGTCCTGGCCTTTGTGGGGATCATCAAAGGAGGACTGTGTGGAAACAAGGGAATGCTGTGGGTAATTAAGAGAGTATTGTTTTGTTTGGTTTTTAAATCATTCTTACCACTGCCCCCAATGGCCTCAGGCATTCTAGCCCTAACCTGTTACACAAGTTTCTTTGTTTAAAAATTTCTAGGGTGTTGTCGGAATTCAGCAAAGCCCAGGTAAACTCTGTGCCAACCAACGGGCTCACCACCAGCATGCAGCTGCACTTTGATAGCCCTACGGACCTCCTTCCTCCCCAAGCATCCTCTAAGGCCCCAGATGGTGGCCAAAAGCAGGAGCCACTCCCCCAGGTGCCTGGTAACCTGGATATGAAGCAGCTAGGCACTGCCCAAGCTGCCCCTGCAGGAAGCACTTCAGACCAGCAGCCTTCTAGTCCTGTGAGTGGAGCAGTCTGCCAAGGGAGTGGCCAGCAGAAAGCCCTGGAGTGTGGTGGAGTTGGATTGAAGCTTGTGGTTTCTTCCCCCACCAGTCCGGTGAGTGTGCAGGCTATTTGGGGGAATCCTGGGGAAGAGTCTCAACTATATCACGGTTTCCCCAGCTAGAGACTCTGAGAGGTTGATAACACTGTAATGGTGAGCTAATGTGTCTTCACATCTGAGTAGCAAAGGTGAGCCAGGCACTGTGCCAATCACTTCCCAGGTGTATCTCCTGTCATCTTCACGACTCTGTGAAGGAGGTAATTCTGTCTGAGCACCCTCACCAGCACTCAGCAGCCTAGGCCTTGGGCAAGGCACTTCACCTCTTTGAGTCTTGGTTTCCTCCTTTACACTTATTTTTATTAAATTAATATTTTTATAAAATACCATGTTTTGAAAAATACTCATTTTCCAATATGAACCAGGTTTAGAACTGCATGGTTCATTATGGCAGCTATTAACCACTTAAAATGTGGCCAGACCAAATTGAAATGTGCTGTGTAATATAAGCACCCAATTTTGACAACTTAGTATTCAAAAAAGAATGCAAAATCTCTCATTAATAATGTTTTATTGATTACCTGGTAAGATGAAAATATTTTTGGATATATTGCACATAATAATAATGTGACATTAAAATTAATTTCACCTATTTCTTCTTACTTTTTTAAATGTAGGTACTAGAACATTTAAAAGTACACATATGGCTTACATTGTGTTTTAGAATGAGTCAATCCAATTTGTCACTAACCTGTGAAAAGCCAACCTTGGGTATCTCCTTGAGAGAGCTGTGCTCTTGCAGAGAGGCTTGAGAATTGTTGCCCAATGAAGCACCAGTCAGAGGCTGTGACTCAAGCTCCTTTGCCTCTTAGATTTTCATGGCCTTTGACATTTCCCAGGCAAAGTTATTGACTTTTATTGTGTGTTTGTAGAAAAGAATGTGTGTGGTATCTGCCCTTTCTATGACTCAAGCCCCAGCCCTGCAGGGGAAGTAAGGCAGCTGCTTAGAAATACTCAGGGAGATCTATGGAGGGAAAAGAGAAAGCCACAGTAAGGGGAGAGAGAATGAACTTACAGAAATGAGTGTCTCTGACTGCTTCTCTCTCTGGTCTTCACAGTTAAACTATACCATGGAGAGCAAAGCAGAATAGGAATTTGCACTCCTGTGCACACACAGACACATAAAGCTTAGAGTTAACCTCAGCTCCCCTCTGGGACTCGGGTTGTGATATGGACTTGTACTTTTCAGCTCCATCCAAGCTCATCGCTCCTTTGAGTAATAGCTTCCAGATCGTATGATTCAGGATGGGGTCATGAAATAGGAAAGGCACAGCTCCTGTGCTGCTGCCCTCCCTCCCCACATACTCTCTCTTTTAACCTTTTTAATACAATATCCCACTATGTAGCCCAGACTGACCTCAAATTCATGATCCTCCTGTCTCCACCTCCAAAGTGCTGGGATTACAGGTATGCACCATCATGCATGCCCACCTCCCCTGGTTTTTAATTAGTTTATTGAGATGTACTTCACATACCACCTAATCTTAGTATATCCATAGGATTATGCAACCATCACCACAGTCTACTTTTAGAGCATGTTTTATGTCCCATTAAAGAGATTCTGTACCCTTTCGCAGTCACTATCCATCTGTCTCCTTCCTTTATCTCACTCCCTTCAACCTCTGACAATCACTACTTTATTATTGCCTTGATAGTTACCTGTTCTGGAAATTTTATATAAATAGAATCATACGATGATGATCTTTTGTGCCTGGCTTCTTTTGCTTAGGATGATATTTTTAAGGTTCATCTGTGTCATAGCATGTATCAGTACATCATTTCTTTTTACTGCTGAGTTTTATTCCATGGTCTATTCCATTATATGACTAAGTGGCATTGACAGACATTTGGGTTATTTCCATTTTTTTAATATTATAACCGAGCTGTTACAGACATTAATGTACATATTTTCATATGGGTATGTGTTTTTAATTCTCTTAGATGCATAACTAGAAGTAGAAATTTTGGATCGGATAGTAACTCTATATTTAACCTTTTGTGGAACTCCCAAACTGTTTTCCAAAGCATCTGCCCTATTTTACATTTCCACCAGTAATGAATTTCTCCACTTCCTCACCAACAGTTATTATCGTCTAGTTAAAAAAAAAAAATGGTATCACCATCCTAGTGAGTGAGAAGTGGTAGCTCAACATGGTTTTAATTTGCGTGTCCCTGATGATTGAAGATCCTGATGCCTTTTCATTTACTTATTGGTCATTTGATCCTCTTTTGTGAAGCATTTGTTCAAGCCATCATCCCATTCCTAAAATGAATTGTTTGTGGTTTCTATATTGACTTTGGATGCTCTCTATGTAGAGATATAAATTTTTTGTTAGAAGTATCTTCTTCCAATCTATGGTTTTCCTTTTAAATCTCTTAATGATTTTTTTTTGTTGTTGAACAAAAGTTCTTCATTTTAGAAGTCGGGGATGCAGCTTAGTAGCAGAGCACTTGCCTAGCATGCATGAGGCCCCAGGTTTAATCCACTGGGAAAAAAAGTTTGTTTGGTTTTTTGGGGAGGGGGTACTAATGGCCTCGCACTTGCAAAGCAGGTGCTCTACCACTTGAGCAACACCTCTAGCCCAAAAATAATGTTCTAATTTTAATAATGTTTAATTTATTGATCTTTTTGTTTATGGTTTATATAGTGTTTTGTCCTACTTGGGAAATCTTTGTCTACTCAAGGCTCTAACAATACTCTCCTATGTTTCCTTACAGAAGCTTTAGTAATTTACCTTTCACAGTTCAGTTTTTGGTCTATGTAGGATTCATTTTTGTGTATTGCATGAATAGGAGTCAAAATTCTTATTTTTCCTTATGGGTATCTGATTGACCCAGCACCATTTACTAAATATGACTGTATAAATCATGTGAATGTAGGTCAGACTCTCCATATTTCCTGTCCTCAAGATGGCTTCAGATTTGCTTCCAAAAGATGAGTGTTCTGGAGCTCTGAAAGTTTGGCTAGGCACTGCCAAGGCATGCTGAAGTCCCTGGCTTAAGTTGGAGGCAGAGTGATGTCTCTTGGGGGGGTGGCCTGTGCCCGAAAGGGCTCCAAAGAGTGGCCTTGACCCTGGTGAGCTCACCCATGCCCAGAGCCTGACTTCTGCTTTGCAGGCTCAGACATACTATCTTTTCAGGATCTCAGAGCTGATGGGACAGGGCTGCTCACTTACCAGCAAAGTTTCCCCTCAGCCTCCTAAGTTCTTTCCTTTCAGCCTTTTTTAAGCTCCTCAGACAAAGCAAGCTTCTTCCAGCCTCTGGCTCTTACATTTCCTGTGTCCTCTGCCTGGACCACTTTCCCAACTTGCTGCTGTTGCTTCTTGTTGTCTCAGCCTTCTCTGACCCCTGGGTCTAGAAAGCACCATCCTGTGATGCTGTCGTATTCATCTACTCTACTTTGTTTATAGCACTCATCACTCCACGAATTTCTGTTGCCTCTTTAGTTGTCTACTTGGTTACTTCCTGTCTTCCTCTCTGTAATATTAGCTCCATGATACAAAGGACCACGCCTGTTCACTTCTGTATTGTCAGCCCTGAGCACTGCTCCTGCAAGAGTGGGCACCATTAATAGTTCTTGAAGTCTCAAGACACTTGAGATACCAACCATAAGTTTTCTTGGAGAATGGATGGGATGGTCAGGTTGGTCTGATCAGGGCAGGCTCTGCCTCCTTCCTAGCCTCAGGGGAGCCTGATTGTTCTAGGGTTGCTGGGGACCAGGGAGTCAGCACTTGGTGCTGAATCCAGTATGAGAGCCTCAATGCTGCCCCCTTCCTGCATCCAGCTCACAGAGGAATGTGGATTCATTCATTGCCTCACTAAGTAGGCAGTCACTGTGTGGCTTGCCTGCAAACATGGGCCTGGTCAGCTTGCTTGGCTCTACCCTGCATATCTGCCCTGTGGTCCTCATCTCTCTGGGTTTCTATCACTTAGTGACATGTTTTTTGTTTAACACATTTTTGAAGGAATGTTGAGGTCACTGTCAAGTTTTATAAGCCTGGAGAGCTTTCATTCTTTCTTTTTAAAATGCTTTGTTTTTAATCCACTCAACACAAAGTCCTTAATATAACCCAAGCACCATGATGGATGAAACAGGACAGACAAGAACCTTGCCCTTTGGGGACAGACACTAGATTAGACAGATGATGATCCACATCATAATTCACTTGGGCTAAGCTGGGAAGAAAGCGTGCAGGGAGCTGGGAGCTGCGACGAGACTTGGCCTAATCACTGCCCCATGAGCCACCTGCCTATGGCATGGGGTCTCCTGCAGGTGTGGGCACAGGCAGAACTCTTGCCTGGCATAATGAGGACAGTCTGGACAGAAGATCCCGTCCTTTTGAAAACATTCCTGACACCTGGCACTACACTCCTCAGCCAGATCGTCCTGAGACTTACATATTGTGTACAGTGTCGTGACACCTTAGAAACTCAAGGTGGCATCCCTCTGTCTTGGGTCCCTGGTGACAAGAGCTACTTTAGTGTAGATCCTGGCCAGTGGTGGCTGTCCCCACTGTTAAAAGGGCAGAGAGTTGCCCAGATGCCTCCCCTCCTGCAGGCAGTAAGCATAGGAAAGTGGCAGGAAGAGGGGAGAGAAAAGGGAACCAGCAGTGATTGTATGAGATGATTGATAATTGCATGTGCATACACTTTCTAGGTCTCCTCCCTACCCCACGCCAGTAGGCAAACACATACCCACAACACTCTCCAAGGAACTTGCTTCCCACTGTTTTCCCTTGTTGTTTGAGAGAGCCAAAGCTTTTTCCTAGAGAATCATCTTGTGGCGGCTGTTGTATGGTCAGTGAACTATGTCTGAATATTTCCTAGTAGCCCTCACTGTCCATAATCATAAAATTCATGTCTCCGTCCCTCCAGTTCCTTACACTCGCCTCTGTTATTATACATTAAAGACATTTGGACAGTTAAGATTTATTCCCTCATCTTTTATGACCTGCATGTGTTGCTGGATACATCAAAAAATAATAATAATAACTCTTCTAAACAGTATTGTAGGTGCTAGGATGGGAGTAAGCACAGAATATCATGGGGGCCCAGTAGGGGTCCCTGGCCCAGCTGGGGAATGGGAGGGGGTGTGGACCGGGTAAGGAAGCTTCCAGGAGGAGGTGACAGGTGACCCTTGAGTGAGTCCTGAGGGATAGTGATCTCTCCCATCAGGGCCATGGGCACGGACTACAGATGGCAGGAGCCACCCATGTGTGTGAGGCTGCCAGGATGGCCACATGGCCACTGGGAGCTGTTCCTCCCACCCATTGTCCTCAGAGAGTTGTCCCATTAGTGACTTAGGCAGGCTTTGTTCAAGAATCCAGCATCATATATATAGTTCCCAGTAGCCTCCCTGATTGACACATTGTCCTGTCCCTGATAAAAGGAAGCACCTGCCAATTCTGAGGGCTCCATGGAGAAGTGAGGTTCAGGGAGGGCCTCCAAGTACCTGAATCAGAATTCTCCATGCTTGGCTTCAGGAGTTTTTTAATACCTGAATGAATCAAACTGTCCAAACCAACCCATCTGGGATAGCCCCAGCCTGGCCCTTCCTCCCTCCTCCCTGCATAAGCAAGGAGGGCAGTCTCTGTTAAGGGGTTGGAAATAACAACATCAGGGTGAGGCTGGTGACACTTAAAAAAAACAGTTGGGCTGGTCCCACCACTGCGTGATTCATTTCCTCTATGTATACAACCACTTGAGGCAGCCTGCCAGCTTCCTTGCCTCTGTTCTTCCATGTTTGGGCACAGAAGGTCAAGGAAGGCCTGAAATAGTGAAAGAAAGGAACTCGAATTCATTTCCTCAAGCCCACTAACCTCAGATCTCTCCTACTTCTGTCTGTGAGCACTTTCACACTCAGCATAGCAGAAGGTGAGGCCAGAGCCCACCTGCGAGGGGCCTTCAGGGCCTGCTCAGAAGCAGGAGTCAGCTGGACAATGGTGGCTCATGCCTGTAATCCTAGCTACTCAGGAGGCAGAGATCAGGAGGATCACAGTTTAAAGTCAGCCCTGGCTAACAGTTCACAAAATTGTATCTCAAAAACACCCAACACAAAACAGGGCTGGCAGAGTGGTTCAAGTAGTAGACTGCTTGCTTAGCAAGTCTGAAACTCAGACCACCAGTACCACCAAAAGAAAAAAAAAAAAAAAAAAAGGCAGTAGCAACAGCAGGGGTCAACTGGACAAGATGGCCTAGCCTGTCATTCCAGCATCTGGGAGGTAGAGGCAGGAGGATCAGGAGCTCAAGGCCACTCTGGGCTAGGTAGGAGACCCTGTCTCAGAAAAAACATGGGGAGCAGAGGCAGAGGAAACCAGTGAGAACTGAGGCTGACTTGCCACACCTCCCTCATCTCAAACCCTGTACACAGTGCAGTAAAGCCCAGCATGCTAAGCCAATTTGATATCCACCTGCAAAAGGATCATTTTCACCCCTTCCTTATACCTTACATAAATTCTAACTCAAGATGGATCTTAGACCAAAATTTAAGTGCTAAAATTATGAAGATATCAGCAGAAACTTAGGAGTAAATCTTCATGGCATTGGCTTCAGCAATGGTTTCTTAGACACACCACCAGGACCACAGGCCAAAAAAAAAAATAGAGCCTGTCATCCCAGTACTGAGCCAGGAGGATTGAGAGTTCAAGGCCAGCCTGGGCTACATAGTGAGACCCTGACTCAAGAAAGAAGGGGAAAAAAAATAGATAAAATGGACTTCATCAGAATTCTTAGCTTTTGTGCTTCAGAGGGCACCATTAAGAACATCAGAAGGCAGAATGAGAGAAATTATTGGCAAATAGAATAGCTGATAAGAGTCTAGTATCTGGAATATACAAAGAACCCTTGCAACTTGTATTAGTTTCTTAAGGTAGCCATAATAAAGTAGCATAAATAAAGTAGAAGGCTTAAGACAACAAAATTTATTCTTGTAGTTCTAGAAGTAGCAGGTGAGAAATTGGAACCCTCTTATATTGCTGGTGGGAATGTAACATTGTGCAGCCACTATTAGCAACAGTTTGGTTGTTCCTCAAGATGTTAAACATAGAGTTATATACGACCCAGCAATTCCACCCAAAGGTATATGCCTAAGAAAAGGAAAACATAAGTCCACACAAAATTTGTATGTGAATGTTCATAGCAGCATTACTTATAATAGCCAAACAGTAGAAACAGCCCAAGTATCCATCAACTGGTGAGTGGATAAACAAAATGTGGTGCCTCCTTACAATTATTTGGCAGTAAAACGGAATGAGTATTCATACATGTGTATAACATACGTGAACCTTGAAAACATGCTAAGTGAAAATTTTAAAAATTTAAATTTAAAATTTAAGTTGGTTGCACAACTTTAAATATACCAAAACTATTGAATTGTACACCCATTTTTAAAAATGGGTTATTTTATGGTACATGAGTCATGACTACATAAAGATATTTTTTAAACACTTAAAAACAGACAGCTGCTTCTTTACTTTTTTCTTGATAGAAAAGTAAGAGCTGGATCTCTGAAGATGACTTCTACCGGCCTCCCCAGGAGGGCACCCCTGAGAGTGCTTCCAGTGGCTGTCCAGCTGCTTCCCCAGGGACTCCAGAGTCAAGGACTGCTCTCTACAGGCTTTCTTCTCAAGGACCAAGAAAGAGCCCCTTAGGGGCATTAAACAGAGCATGTGTGCCTTCCCCAGGCAGTGAGAAAGCCGAGGCAGCCCCAGTGGCATCGCAGGAGCATAAGAACTTCCGAGTGGTACACCGGAGGCAGATGGGTAGGTGGCTTTCTGCAGAGTCCCATCTGCAGGGGCTGTGCCTTTCAGAAAGTAGCTCTGAAGTCCTATTTGCCATTAGCAATAGGTAGTGTTCTCCCAGGAAATCCTCAGCCCAGAATAGTCAGATGCACTTGTGCTTAGGGATTCAGGAGAGTTTCAGAAAAGTGCTGCAATCTCTTCTAACATCTTAGTAAGATAGTGTTCAAAACAGCCTACAGAGTATGAAACCACTACTTCCTATATTGAAATGGAAATAGTTTCCCTGAAATTACACTATGAAATTTAGGATTACAGAGAACTCTTAATTCCCTCTGTGACTCAGAGAAAAGCTTACCTTTGGAGGCCCAAGTGTTCCAATGGCTCCTTCCAAAGGCCTTTATCTTGGATGGTTGATTGAATAGCTCTGGTGGGAGTTTATCTGTCTTCCATGTTTATTTCTATTCCACCATTTATTTCTGTCTTCCATGAGGTATTTACAGTGAGGCCACACCTTGTGAAATTCCAGAAAGCATTAAATAACAGTAACCTAATTTTTCTAGGACCTTCAAAATGGGCTTCTTTTTTTCAACCAACAAAATGAGTGTTCCCTTGGTCTCTTTCTGTCCTTATTTTCAGTTTGCAGTGACCTTAGGCTTGTGGGGCACTGACCTGGGTAGTGTGGATCAAACCCTGGTCTCCATGTTGACTTCTTTTGGGTTTGTCTTTTAGTCCCAGGCTGGCCAGCCCACAAGCAACCAGGCCAGTGATGGTAGGTTCCCTGAGGAGAAGGAAAAGCCTCTGCAGTAGTTTAAAATATCCTGGGCTAGTCCAGGCTGAGAGAGAGAATTCTATGTCCTTTGGACCCCTGGTCCATGGCAAACTCCAGGGGAGGAGGGAACATTGAGCAGTGTATGGCACAGGGACACTCACTCAGCATTTACTCATTTGTTCAGTAGATACTTTTGTGGGTGCTCCAGGCATCATCTTCAGCACTGATCTAGTGCTGGAGACATAACAGGAAGCAAAACAGTGTCCCTACCTTCATGAGATTTCCATGCTAATGAAGGGTCAGGAAGTTAGAAAATTAACCGGTAAAGGTTGAGTTAGAGTCACGTGGTGATAAAAGCTATGGAAAGCAGTGAATCAGGGAGTGCCCAGGCAAAGAGTACTCTCTTATAGAGGGTAGACTGGACAGCCCTCACAAATAAGGTGACATTGAGGAGATGGGAAGAAAGGAAGGGAGGGAAGGAGGTATGTGGTCATCTATGCTTTCTAACAGGAAGAAGAAAGGCATGCTTGACATGTTCAAAGTAGCTAGAGCAGGGGAGCTTGAGGAGGTTGAGGGAAGAGATCAGTGAGACAGAGGCTTATGGACCATGAAAAGCACTTAGGATTTTGCTCTGAGGGAGATGGCAGAGGGACATGATCTGGTTTATCTTTTATTTTTATTTATTTACTTTATTTTTTGTGTAGTACTGGAAGTTGAACTCAGGGCCTTGTACTTGCTAGGCAAGTGCTCTACCACTTAAGCCATGCCTCCAGCCCTCTTTTAAACTGGTTTTTCCTGACTCCTATGCTAGAGAACAACAGGGAGAAAAAGAACTGTTAGGAGTCTGTTGCCATAACCAGGCCAGAGTTGACCCTGTGGGAGGGAGAGAACCTAAAGGAGGTAGAGGTGGGAGAAGTGGGGAGATCTGAATTTGTGTTGAAGGCAGAGCCAACAGGATTTACTGATATTAAATATGGAGTATGAAGGAAAGAAAATCTGGGGAACTCCAAGGTTTTTAGTCCAAGCAACTGGAAGGATGAAGTTTGCCATTTTATGAGATAAGGAGCATCAGGGAAGAAGCAGGTTTGCAGCAGAAGAATCAGGAAGTCAATTTTCAGACATGTCAACTTTGAGATGCCTATTTAGACATACATGGGGCAGATGAATCTGAAGCCCATGGCGAGGTCCACACTGGAGAAAGAAATTGGGGAGTTGTTGACATAAAGCCCTGAGGGCAGGTAAGTTCAGCTAGGAAAAGGCAGGGACCCAGCACCAAGCTCCAGGGTGCTCCAGCCTTGAGAGATTAGGGAGCTGAGCTGATGAGCATGGAGATGAGTGCTCCAGGGAGACCTCTAAGCTTGGCCTTCCCAGGAGCAGTTTCAGTGGAATGAGAGGACAAAAGCCTAAATGGGGCAGGTTCAAGAAGGAATACAAACAAAGAAATTAGAGACAGAGGTGTCAGTCTTCCTCAAGGAATTTTCCTGCAAAGAGGACCAAGAAACAGGGTGGTAGTTAGAGATGTGAGTTGAGACAAGAGGAATTTGTACAGGAGGGAGAAATATCAGCATGTCTGTGTGCTGATGGGAATGATCCAGTAAGAGGAAAAAAAGGGAGTATGGGAGAGAGAGACCAAGGAGAGATGTCCTTGTCTTTGAGTGAGTGGGAGAGAGGTTGGCCTCACAGAAAGAGGCAGAAACGTACTTTGTTAGGTCCTGGTGACAGGAGGAAAGTCAGTGTGGCACAGATTCTAGAATGGGCAGTCACAGTGAGGGGGCATGGGGAGGAGTCTTCTGAGTGCTTTTGCATTCTCAGTGTAATTCAGGAAGCAAGGTCAACAGCCAAGGGGAGGACAGGGTAGGAGTGCTCAAAAATAACCCCATCCAGCTTTTGGAATTCTATTTGACAGTGCCCTGTGGCTAGCTGTGTTCTGGTGGCAGTCACCGTGTCCACTCCCACAATATGATGGTGCAGAGGTGACCTTGGGTGGTAAAGGGACAGGCCTATAGTCTAAAGTGCCTCTTTCTACCTCTAGGGCTATCTAACCCATTCCGGGGCCTCATGAAGCTGGGCACAGTGGCTCGGCGGGGGGCCATGGGAATCTGGAAGGAGCTCTTCTGTGAGTTGTCCCCACTGGAGTTCCGCCTCTACCTGAGCAATGAGGAACGCACTTGCGTGGAGAGCTGCTCCCTGCTGCGCTGCGAGGCCGTGGGGCCAGCCCACAGCGATGGGCGCTTTGAATTGGTCTTCTCTGGCAAGAAGTTGGCGCTGCGTGCCTCCTCCCAGGATGAGGCTGAGGACTGGCTGGACCGAGTGCGGGAGGCCCTGCAAAAGGTTCGGCCCCAGCAGGAAGATGAGTGGGTGCATGTCCAGTACCCAGCCCAGCCTGAGGACGCTCCCAAGGGCTCCCCGGACAGCCACCCCTCTTACTCAGCCTTGCTGCCAGAGCCTACAGTCCTTCAGGGCATGCAGTTGGACTGGACGTCTGCCCACGTTCCAGAGCCAGACGCTATCAAAGAGTCCCTTTTGTACCTGTATGCAGACAGGACCTGGATGCCCTATATTTTTTCCCTATCCTTGGAGTCTCTAAAATGCTTCCGAGTGAGAAACAATGAGAAAATGCTAAGTGATAGTCATGGAGTGGAGACCATCAGAGACATCCTGCCAGACACGAGCCTTGGGGGACCAGCCTTCTTCAAAATCATCACAGCCAAGGCTGTCCTGAAGTTGCAGGCTGGAAATGCCGAGGAGGCTGCCCTGTGGAGGGACTTGGTCCGAAAAGTCCTGGCATCCTACTTGGAGACAGCTGAGGAGGCTGTGACGCTTGGCGGGAGTCTGGATGAAAACTGTCAGGAGGTGCTGAAATTCGCCACCAGGGAGAATGGCTTCCTGTTGCAGTACCTGGTGGCCATCCCCACGGAGAAGGGCCTCGACTCCCAGGGCTGTTTCTGTGCAGGTGCTGACCAACTCACCCACTACACCCAGCCTGTCAGCTGCACTCCACCTCCTTCAGGGCTTCTGGTTTAGGCTCCCCACCAGGGTTTTTAAGCCTGCCCTGGATGATACATCAGAAGGGAGCTGGCCCCACAGCCTCCATTCCTCCCTAGCACCCACTGGGATGGGGAATTCCCCCACAGCAAAATTGTTGTGTGCTGTTGTGAGTCATATATTTGGTGCTATCCAGTGGGACTTTCTGTGTGATAAAAGTGTTCTAGATCTGTGCTTTCCAGCTGGTAGCTTTGAGCCACATGTGGCCATTGGATGCTTAAAAAGTTGCTATTGTGACTAATGAACTGACTTTCCCATGTGAATATATTTAAATTTAACAGTGTATCTGTGGTTTCAGGCCACGGTGTTGGGTTACACAGCTCCTTATATTATTCTACAACTTGTTTTTTTCTCCTTGTAATACATTATGAATGTTATTCCATATCAGGACATATCTACTATGTCATTGTCATCATGAAATCTAATATTTCTTTGCAGGGCACTGAGCCCAGTACTTTACTTGATTTATTTCAGTTAATCCTCACAACAACCCTATAGATAGGGGGCTAGTATTTTCTGTTTTTAGGTGAGGAAACTGAGGCCCAGACCTGGTAAATATCTTGTCTCAGGTTCACACCGAAAGTGGAAGAATTGGACCTTGATAGTCATGCCCCAGAGCCTGTGCTTGTGGACAGGACCCCCGAGGGCCTCCCCTCCCTTGTCCAAAACTTTATGATGTCTCACTGCCCACGGTCCATTGGTATCTCTTTCCAGCCCTGCTATCCAGGGGAAGATGCTATAGAAGGCCAGAGTGAAAAGCTGAGCTGTCCTGGTGGGGTGGCACCTGTGGGACCAGAGGGGAAAGCCTGTTGCAAGCGTCTGGAAGGAAGTGGCCTGCAGTGGGCCCCTGGGAGGATGGGAGAAGTGGCTGAGCAGAGCTTCCTGCAGAAAACATCTGCAAGCCACTGCCCACCCCTGCTCTTGTGAGGGGAGGCTCCCCACTATGTGTGTGAGCTCTGCAGAGATAGCTCTCCCTATGGCTGTCACTACCAGCCTGCCAGCCAGAACTGTGAGACTCAGAGCTCAGGCTTCCTTTCCACCATGTAGCACAGCCCAGTGACTGGATAGACACCAAGCAGGGACATGTGTGTAGAAGCTCATAATTTACAGGGCACTTTATTATAACCCCCACAAAACAGCTAATGGTAGCTGAGTTTTATAGACCGTGAAATGGAATCTTGAGAAGATTAGGTGAAGGTCAGGATAAAGCAGCTGATAAGTAGGAGAGATTAGCTGTTTGGCCCCTTTCCCTTGCCCCAGTGTAGGGCAGAACATGAGTTCAGGATTTGAGCTGGGCTTTTGCCTTTTGCCCTGAGCACACCGGATTTCCACTACCCCCTGCTGTGGAGAGACCACCAACCAAGGGCTGAAGCTGCCCCTACTCCACTGCTCTGAGAGATCAGGCCTTTCTTGGTTCATACTGGCACTAGGCAGTCTAGGTTGCTGGCTTGCCTGCTGCTGCTGGCTTCCCTAGTCACTCTCATGGCCACCCCCTCTCCCAGTTCCTTCACCTCTGGCCCAGGCCCTAGCTTAGTTGCTTCTGTTTCTGGGCCTCAGTGGAGGGGTGGCTGGAGAGGAAGTTGACATTGGAAAGCAAACACTGGAGCCACTGGACCAAGATGGTAAATATAATGGAAGAGAATGTGGGCTTTAGGATTAACCAAGCCCACAGCATTTCCCCCTCTGCCTTTTTTTTTTTTCTGGAGACAGGGTATCACTATGTATCCCAGCCTGGCCTTGAACTCTTGACTTTCCTGCCTCAGCCTCCCAAGTGCTGGGACAGACAGATTTCTTACCCTGTGAGCATCAATTTCTTCAGCTGTGTAATGGCAATTATAGTTCTTAAAGTGTGTTGTTGTGATTGATAGTATTGATTGTGAGTGGTGGAAATATGAGTGATGATTATTTTTACCATTGTCTATTCCTTTATAAAAATACTACCTAGTGGGCCCTTCCTACCACTGTACTGTCTGTGTTGCTTAGAGCTGCCTCTGGCCTCCACCCCTCACTCACCTACTGCCTCTCCTCAGGCTGCTCCCGGCAGATCGGCTTCTCCTTTGTACGACCCAAGCTGTGTGCCTTTTCTGGTCTCTATTACTGTGACATCTGCCACCAAGATGATGTCTCAGTGATTCCAGCCAGGATCATCCATAACTGGGACCTCACCAAGCGCCTGGTAAGTCTTAAGTCCAGTCTGTCATGGCCACACAGGGGTACTCAGTAACTGAGGAACATTCTTCCCTCTTTGCTGCTGCTGCTTGTCTGTTTGGAGGAGTTTCAGTCTAGAGAAGCTAGGGTCATTGGTTCAGGCCCAATGATGTGGTGGGACAGCCAAGAGAAAGGCATAGTGCCTATCAGCAGGCCCTAAGCAGAGTTCTGTAAATGTCTGCGTTGGTCCCCAGGTAGGCATCTGAGGATGGTACTCTGCAGCTAGTTTAAGACACCAAAAACTAGGTAGGTAGGAAGGAAAGTTAAGATACAACAGAAAGAGCAGTTTTTCTGGGACTCTACTCATTGTAAAGATAACCCACAGTTATTGTTTAATATGTAAAAATTACAGAGAAGCCCAGTTTTGATTTTGACAAATCAAAATTATGTGTCATCACCCAGAATATTTTGGGGTATACCCTTTTCTCTGCATTTATTTACATATCATCTACTTTTATAAAGGACTCATACTGGACTCATCTTCCTTTATCACATGATTTGTCCACTTCATGTTATATCTTGGGTACTTTTTTATGTTCACTAAATGCTTCTGAACAAGATCTTTTCTAATGTTTCAGATTTTCCTCTTGTCCAGCTGAGCTAAACCACTTTTCTAGCTGGTTTCTATGAGCAAATTAATCAATAATAGTGTCTGTCTCAGGGTCATTGTGAGAACAGGTGTGGCAGTTCACACCTGTCACTCATAACAGTGCTTTCCAAACAAAGCTTTCCCTTCCCTGAGGCTTGTCACACCTGTCTCTAATTCATTTGTTGGGGTTGGCCTCAGAGGCACATACTTGCTTTCTTCCAAAAGCACAAAATTCTATTAAGACAGACACAGAAACACAAGGAAGGAGTCATTTGCTTCTCTTAAGACCCAGGGCCTAGCTGGGAACCAGTGGCTCACACCTGTAATCCTAGCTATTCAAGAGGCAGAGATCAGGAGGATCGAGGTTCGAAGCCAGCCAGGACAAATAGTCCGACCCTATCTTGAAAAAACACATCACAAAAAAAGGCTGGTGGAGTGGCTCAAGGTGTAGACCCTGAGTTCAAGCCCTAGACTTCAAAGAAAAAAAGACCCAGACCCTATGGGCCATGAAGTCTTGGCCAGTGTTGTGTCCTTAGTGCAGACATGCCTCTGAGAAGGGAGACCCCAAGGTTGACTCCACTTTGACTGTTCTGTTTACCTTGTCCGCACCCCTGCTCTCAGTATTAAGTATTTAACTTCATAGAGCAAATTAAACCTCAAAAATCAGGAAAGATCCAGCTTTCTTTCACAAAGCACCGGCCTGGGAAAGACAGGAAAATTCAAAATAGAAAGTAGATAGTCCATGGCTTTGGGGCCTTATTGTTCGCTGTCACCTCTGGCTGACCCACTTGTGCCCAGACCCAGCTGGCATAGTCCTAGACTGGGGTTTCTGCCTGTCTCCCCCATGCCCACAGGATAGGAATGGCCCCTGGGGAGCCTGAAGCCCCTGCCCGTGTACAGCATTGGGCAGTGTTCAGTGCATGTTCCTGGGTGTTATTTCATCTGAGCCTCACCCGAGGCCTGAGGCTGAGTCACAGGAAGAGCCTGGCTAGGCCTCAAGAACAGCAGTTTAACCAAGTCACTGAGAGAAGTTGCCACTGGGCTACCCCAGGCTGGGAGCCTGGTACTCAGGGCTCTAGGTCATGGGAAAACAAGTTGTTCACTGCTAGGGGAGGTGAAGGCCTCTACAGGAATTGGGCGTCAGGAGGTCAGAGTTCTCCCTGGCCTCTAAATATGGGACAGGTCTCTTAAGAGCCCCGTTACATACCCTGACCCTCAGGGGACAGCAGAGGCACTCTAGGCTGTCACATTACAGTTGGCAGCAGCTCACATTTACAAGGATGTGCTACATACTAGGCTCTGTACCAGAATATCTGTTTAGTCTGAACTCAACATGTCAGCATGTAGCAATTTAATGTTCTTCCAGTCAACCTTAGCATCTTAGCACACAAGGAGCAGGCCACAGGGGAGGGGAGTTCTCTCTAGTAAATGTGGCAGCCTGGTGTTCAGACACTGCCTTAGCACATGCCTGGGCTCCACTGCTCACAAGTGGGTTAAATAAACCATTTTAGCTTCTCTGAGCTGTTTCCTCACCTATGATGTGGGCATAAACCACCTCCCCCTCCCAACCCCATGGGTTGTTCCTAAGATGAGGGGAGAATGTGGTCAAGTTCTCTAGCCTGGTGTCTGGCAAACAGTCGGTGCTCAATTGTTGGCATTAGTTAGGGCCAGGGCCAAGAGAAGCATCGACACCCTGTCAGTCAGTTAGGAGAGGCTACAGTTGATCACTCAGCTTCACAGAATCACAGGGAGCCCTGGCAGGACAATTGGGATCTTGTAAAGCTGCGTCTGCTCTGTGACTTCCTGTGGCTGAAACCTGATGACAGCGGAGTCACCAGGTTCCTGAGTCAGGACCCACAGGGGAGCGCCTGTTTCCTTTAAGCAGGAAAAGGGGGGCTGGGTGGACAGGAAAGTGTGGGAAGGTCTGTGGGGACTTTGACCTCTCATCTCAGCACGGTCTGAAGAGGGCACAACAAGTGCTATTAGAGGGCAAGTAGGTTTAGTAGGAGAAACTGGGTTGAGATCTTGACTGTACCATTTCTGAGCTGTGGCCTCATCTCTCTATGCTTAGTTTCCTGGTGTATAAAATTAATATAGTGCCACCTCCCGAGGAGTGGGCTGCAAGGCAGGTGAGGGAATGGTTACTGCAGTGACCAAGAGCTGCTAGCTGAACAGCCCGTCTCTTGTGTGCACCCCCAGGTCTGCCGGCAGGCTCTGAAGTTTCTGATGCATATCCGGGCCCAACCCCTCATCAACCTGCAGCTGGTGAACCCCTCTCTGTACGACCATGTGGAACGCATGCACCTCATTGGCAGGAGCCGGGAGCAACTGAAGCTTCTGGGAGACTACCTGGGTCTGTGCCGGAGTGGTGCCCTGAAGGAGCTGAGCAAAAGGTAAACACTCTCCACCTGCACGTTTGCACACCATGAGCCCAGCAAGTTGTCCACCTGAGAGAAATACCAGAGCTGGGTGGAGAATTTCCCTTTGTGCTTATGAAATCACTGCATTCTTTGGCACTGGTTTTTGGGTTTTGTTCATATATTCACTCATTCATTCAACAAGCCAGGCAAGTTGTCTCTGTAGAAGGCTGAGCAAGGTAGACCCGGGCCTCCCTCTGGAACCCTATGGCAAGGAGTGCAGATGAGCCAGCAACACCTCCAACCAGGGGGTGAGGGTGGAGAGAGAGGAAAGAGATGCTGGAAGCACAAAGGAGAGACTTCTGATCTGGATTAGGGGAGGACAGAGCCTGAAGACTTCCTGGCAGATGTAACTCCTAAAGTATGACCTGAAAAGTGAATAGGAGTTAAAAAGGGGAAGAGGAGGGAAAAGAATGACCTTTGTGAGCCACAAAGGGTGACAAAATACATCAAAGGCACAGGGAGAACTTTGGCCAGAGTGGGAAGGAAAGCAGGGGGAGTGATGAGACGCCAGCCAGAGAGGCAAAGCCTAGCCCGCTCTCATCCCTTGACTGCTGCCCTTGGCAGACCACACCCCAATATTGCAGCACCCTGTGGAGGCCCTTCTAGATCCCCTCTATCCAGAGCCTGAGGCCTTTTGTGCTCATGGACAGGAGGTGATGCTGGCTTCAGGATGGATTTAAGAGGTCCTCTGTGCCTGTCACAAATGCCTCCCAGTCATGAACCCAGCACAGGGTGCAGCCTTTGAGAGGCTACACTCTCTGGTGCTCTCAGCAGGGCAGGCCTTAGGGTACAGCTAGGCCCGCTACACAGCATGGGCTTTGTGTCCATCTTTGCTGGGTCATTGGAGACTGGGGAGGGAGCTTGCAGTCCCTCCAGTTCCCCAGCCTCACCTTCCCAAGGACTGGGACAGAAAGCACCGTCTGAGGGTGTCTTCTGGGGCCTGGATGCCCTTCAGCTCTCCCAGAGGCCCATTGCTCTGCTCCTCAGGCCTGGTGTGTCCAGTGCAGATATCCCAGCTTCTCAAAGAAGTGCTGCAAAAGCTTTCTGCTAGGCAAAGGAGAAAGCTGGCCCCTCTCAGCCCAGCAGAACATCCAGCTGATGCCCCAGGGCTTTGTCTTCTGAAAGGCCTGAAAGAGAAGAAAGCCCCCTATGGGCTCTGCCACCCCAACATCACCCAGATACCTGGGGTCTCCCCTTTGCAGTGAGGCTGACTCACTTCTTTCTGAGATTCCACAGCCCAAGGCCCCAGAGAATCTGCCTTCCTGCCCCTGCCCAGGGGTGAGAGGGCTTATCATCCTCCCTGGCACCTGTGTAGACCTACAGACCTGTGTGGACTAGGTGCCTGCAGGGTGAGTTCTAGGTGCAGGCCACCCTCACCTGTCTTGCTGCTGAACCATCTCTGAGCAACCCCTAGTGGGTGCCCAAGCCAGCTTGCCTCATCTCCCTGACCTGCTGTCCATCCTTGGGCTGCAGCCGTGCACACGGATTGTGCAGCCAGCCTACTAAAGGGCAGGCCACACCTGTGGAAGTTCCATTTTAGAGGAAGCAGAGGGCAGGCAAAGAGCATGGAACAACCCTGGGCCACATGACTTGGGGGAATGGCTTTGCTTCTCTGAGCCCAGCTTAGCCAACTATAAAATGGGCCAGTGATCCTGTGTTCATGTGTCTTTCCTTGTGGTGAGGGCCATAAACAACCATAGATGACAGGCACATGGCCTGGGTCAGCCCTGAAGGAGAATGCTGACCCAGCCTGGGCAGGGGCCTGTGGGCCAGGGAACTCCCAGAGAAGATAACGTCTGAGCTGAGGGTTTGTGGAGTTCTTTTTTTCTTTAAAAAGATACTTTTCTTCTTTGTAAAGATGGTCAGTATTCAAAGTACTGCTTTATAAAAGGCAGTAAAGCAGAACATTCAAATTGCCTTCTCAAATTCCACCTCTGTCAGCTCCCAATCGTTACCACAATGCCAGGAGTTAGAATAATAACCAGAGAGAAGAAAGAGCAAGGGAAAGGCCTGGATTTTTGTGGCTGAAGGACCTGAGGTGGGCAGTGGGCACCGCTCAGGGCAACTGGCTGTGGGTGCAGGGGCCAGAGCTCAAAGATCCTATGTGTCTCACTGGAGGCCTTTGGATTTCATCTCCCCACATGGGAGCCATTGAAAGGTATGGGAAAGACCACTGTGGCAGCAATGTGGTGCCAGAGGTGAGAGCAGAGCCCTTGGAAGGTGCTTGTATGATAACACCCAGAGCTAGGGAGGCCTGACTGTGATGACCAGAGTAGGGATGAGAGGGACAGAGGGGCTGAGGAGACATGGGCAGGTGCTGACTGTGGGAAATTAAGTCAGAAGGAGCTGCCCTGTGCTAGCAGCAGCATAGTGGCAGGTTCTCAGAGAAAGGGAATCCTCAGCAGGCCTGAGACATGTCTTCAAAAGCAACCTCTCAGGCCTTTGGGAAGGAGTCATCACCGAAACTCCCCACAGGAATGTCCCCACCTGACATTGGTTCTCCTTCCAATAAGCCAACAAGGAGGTAGGTCTCAGACAAGACAGTGGCACCCGGGCCACCCACTCAAGACCCATGGCCTCTCAGCCTTGCCAGGGCCTCCTCTACCCCTCACTTCATAGGTTACAGGAGTTAAGAAGCAACCGTGGAGGATCACCGTTTTCTAGGTCCCCCTGTATTCCCCATTATGCAGTCTTTCTCTTCTCTTCTCTACAAATAAAATCTTTCCAACCTCTGCAAAAAAAGAAAAAAAAAAGCAACCCTGGGGGTGGGGGAAGAAAAAAAAAAAAAAGAAGTGACCTTCTCCTGTCTCCTAGAGCCCTGACATTTCCCTTGACCCCTTCATAGGCAGCCTCATGCCAGAGCACTGGCAGGGGTCTCCTCATTGTGTGGGTGGAAAAACCAAGGCCCAGGCTGGGGTGTGCCCAGTGCACAGGCATTTCTCTCCAGAGGCCAGAATGAGTGGCCCCTCTCCCCAGGCCAGTGCTGTTTTTGGTCCTGAAAGCATTGAAGAAAAATCAGTTACAAGGCCTTGCTGAGAGTGTGACAGGCCCCGGGTACAGTGGCTCCCAGGGAAGGACCTGGGAGGGCAGATTACAGGGATAATTCTCCATCAGATCAGACCCACCCTTCCTGCCAGCTCAGGGCCAGTTTTTGCCCTCTCCCATGTTTTCTCAGTGATAGTGGCAGCTTCTGTTTCCCAGAAAGCTGAAAGTTTAGTGGGGAAGCCAGCATAGTAAACTGAGTGATGAATTTATTCTCATGGCTCAATGTGGCCTGCCAGGGCGCTTGGGGGACTTGCCGCCTCTGCCCCAGGTGTCTGGGGCATCCAGGCACAAGTTCCCAAGCACCCTCTGACTTGGAGTGTCCTCTACCCCAGTACCCACCCAGACATGCAGACAGGCCAGCAGGGTTCTGTGCCAGGGATTTTCTGCAGGCGTTTCCTCTCCATTCCTCAGGATGTGACCTGGGTCCCTGCCATTGATATGGTGGGAACCAGGGCGGGGCTTGTAGCCCAGGCCTTATTCTTTGTCCTCCCACCTCTGAAATGGGATCTGCTGTGCCTAGAACACAGCTCAGTTCCTCTCACAGAACATGAAAACCAGATACCTGAATGTCTGTCCTTCAGCTCGACAGGGGCTACCAGAGGGCAGTGGCCATGGCTGTGTACTTCTGTCCCCAGCACTGTACCTGGTATGTAATGGCAGTGACTCAATGGCATGGATAACTGGAGCCAGACTCCTACATTCAAACTCCAGCTCTGTCTTTTAACTATGTGACTTCAGGCAAGTTATTTAAGATGCTTCCTCATTGTCTCAAAATGGGGGTTACAATAGGCCTGGCCTCACAGGATTACTGTGAGAATCTGCTGGATGAGTATGTGTCAGGGCTCAGCCCAGTTCCTGGTACCAAGCGTCAGCATTCATCATTCTCAACCTCCTTATTATTATTAGTCATGTGTTTACTATGAGCTGGCCACTGTGCCAAATACTTTGAATAAATTATTTGGTCCTCAAAACACCTCCATTTCTCAAGGGAAAAAACCTGAGGTTCAGAAAGGTTAGGTAACTCACTCAAGGTTCCATCAGCTAGTTAGTTTAGCCAGGAGACTGGGGTGGAGCACAGACAGGCTGACTGTGCTCTAGCCCTTCCTGGCTAATGCAGGCGGGAGGGTTTCTGGCTGGTTGGTGGTGCTAAGGGAAAGAAAGCAAGCAATGCAGGGATGTCCTGGCTGCGGGAGCCCTTCTAAGAAGCTCTTGTGTTTGTTTTGCAGACTCAACCACAGGAATTATCTCTTGGAGTCTCCCCACAAGTTCAGTGTTACTGACCTCCAGCAGGTGGGCGTGTCGTGCTTCCCCTGGGCCTCCCTAGAAGGGGGTCTCATTCCTAGAGAAATCAGAAAGGAAAATGAGCAAGGGGGTGCTGCAATTTATGGGGGCCAGATAGCAGAACCGGCCTCCCTGCTGCCCCAGCCTCCTGGGCAGTGGCAGGCCCCAGCCCCTCCAGCACATGCCCGGGATCCCAGGGGGAGAGTGGACACTCCTTTCCTCCAGGTACAGGAGAATAGATGTGGGCCTCATCTTTAAGCCCCATACTCCAGTGACCTCAGGGCATAGGCTGGACTGACTCAGGGAGGTCTCCTTACCCTCATGGGTCTGGGGGAGGGTCTGAGGCAAGACGCCAGAGCACTGCAGCACAACCACCTAAGGCCCAGCCTGCACTTGCCCCTGCAGATCGCAGAGGGGGTGTACGAAGGGTTCCTCAAGGCCCTGATCGAGTTCGCCTCGCAGCACGTCTACCACTGCAACCTGTGCACCCAGCGGGGCTTCATCTGCCAGATCTGCCACCACCATGACATTATCTTCCCCTTTGAGTTTGATACCACTGTCAGGTATGTGGGACACCCAACCAGCCACTCCCACGCCCACAGCCTCACCCAGTGTCGCTGGTGGTAGCTCAGGCTCTGTTTTGCAGGGTCACACTGTAAATCTACTCTGCCACTGCCCAGGGTGGTGAGGGTGCCCAGAACCACCTGTGCCCTGGGCTCCCAGGGCTCCTCTTCCCCCTTATCACTGCCATAGGGATGAGGCAGCTGCTGGCTCTGAGCAGGACCTCAATCTGTAAATGAACCTAGGAGAGGCTGCACACCATGCAGCCCTGGCCCTGGAGCACTGGCATGCATGAGGCCCAGCAAGAGTAGTGCTTATTCTTGTCCCAGGTTATTTCTAACTATCTGAAGTCTTCAAATGGAAAAACTCCCCCAGCCTTCCCTCGGCTCAAGTGGGAGTAGAAAGCTGACCTGGTGGGCAGTGGTCCTTCACCTTCAGTAGGTCTACCTGCCAGGGATGAACCCTGAACAGGCCTGGGCCTGTTCAATTGTACTGTGAAGATGGGCAGGAAATAACTTAGAGCACTCAGGCAGCACTTATAAAAAATGAAGTGAGACACAGAGTATCAGCCTACAGGTCACATCATCTGAAGTAGCTTTCAGTGTTGGTTGGAGGGCACGCATGCAGGCCCAGGCTGTGCAGAACACAGCCTCACTGTGGGTTCTGCCCAGAGCTCTGGCCAGCCCAACCACAGGGCACACCCCACCTGACTGTCACAAGCAACGCTTACTGCTCTCTCCAGGTGTGCAGAGTGCAAGACCGTCTTCCACCAGAGCTGCCAGGAGGTGGTGAAAAAGGGCTGCCCTCGCTGTGCCCGTCGGCGCAAGTACCAGGAACACAGCATTCTCACCTAGCCCCAATGTCTGACCCACCCGAGGCCAGGGGAGCTGCAGCTCAGTCATCCCAGATGGCCTTGTTGACAGCCAGGCTCCTCTGTCTCTCCAGTGAGGAAGAGGAAGACCCTCAGGTGTGCCCAGAGCACAGGCCTCCCAGAGAAAGCCCATTCCCAATGGTCTCTCACTACTGACTTTTCCAGGTGGCAGGGACACCAGCAATAGTCAAAGGGGGCTTTTTACCAGGCCTGGCTCACCTCACTGTCATGGTCCCTCCATCAGGGCTGTTCAAACACTGTGGAAACAAGACTTGGGGAACATTTTCAATTCCACATTCCTGACTAAAAGGTCTAGTTTTTTAAGATGGGTTTTTCCCCCTTCATATTTCAACAGAAAATATTTTTTTATTCCTGACCCTATACAAGTCACCCAAGGAACCCAGGCCTTCCTACCCTGAGCAGATGGGCAGGAGCCACCCAGGCCCAGCCTGAAGGCAGGCAGAGGATCAGGCAGCTGTGGGCCGCTGCCTCTCCTTCACTCTTACTGGCTCTTGCTGCCAACAGCTCAAGTGCCACATGACCCTAGCAGGGAGGGGTCAGTCCTAATGACCACCATCTTCCTCTCCTGTCTCTTCATGACTCCCTGTCCTCACCTGAAAAGTTTCCTCCCTTCCTCTACATTAGGACCCCTAGGGTCCTGGTCACAGCAGGAGCAGGGGACTGGCCCCAAACCAGCACTGTCAGCACTTTGAGCTTCCCTTGGTTCAGGGAAGGCCATCGTCTTGCCCACCCTCTACCCACACCCTCCTTACTCCTTACAGACAGCAGGGGCCACCCCTGCTTGACTAACCCCGGCTAGGACAGACAGCAGCAAGCCCAGGACAGGGACCCCAGAGAAGGTAGCGAGCCTTCTCTGCCAGTGGCCAACCTTGGGCACCATGGCAGCCATGCTCCCACTGTGGAGATGCCATCCTTCCACTGCTGAGGTGTGCAGGCTCTTGCAAGAAGCCACCCCATAAAACCTCAGTTTTACAAAGCCATGAATTCACCCAGTTCCACCCAAAAAAGGTTCTAGAAGCAGGACTGCCTTTTAAGGGAGCCTGAGGATACTGGGAGGCTGAATTGTTCTCAAATGAAGTTCAGACCCTTGAGACTTAGGGAGAATGTGGACATGGTCTCTGCTGCCTTCCTCTCCTCTCCTGAACCCAGCAGCCGCTCTGGCCATCCCACTGTATACTCAAGCCTAGAGTTGGAAGCCTCAGGTGGAGCTGCACCTGTCAATGTCAGGAGATGAGCTTTCCCCCATCCTCTCTGAGATGAGGCTGGTGAGTCACCTGCCTGCCCCACAGAGCTTCAGGAATTGTGCAATAGAGCAGAGGGGGCGGTAGGCAGGCAGTGGAGGCTGTCACACAGCCCCTCCATCCCCATCCTGGAAGGTGGTGCACACCATGCCCAGAACACCAAAGCCTCCTGAACCTGAGCTGGAAAGTGAGTACACGGCCTCACCCCACACCCATAGCCAGCATTATTGCTCCCCCACAAACAGCCTGATCAGAGCCTCATTGCCCCCAGGTCCCTAAGCAGGCAGGAGGGTGACCTGGGGTGGGCCTTGGGCCTGGGAGTACATTCCAGAAGGTGCCCAAGGAGACAGCAGGAGTGAGACCCTAGTTGGCAGGGCCTCTCCCATCCCTGGGATTCTGAGCATTAGAGTTGGCCCCCTCCCCATTACCAACAAGCTGCTAATGCTGTCAGGTGAGTTGACTTAACCCCGCGCCTCCAGGGGAAGCTCATGTGAATCTCAGTAGTGCCCACACTGTTCCTGAAATGTTATTTTAGTGAGTAGGGCTTGGCTCTGGCGAAGTGCTTTGCAATGTATTGGAGGAGCTGCTGCTGTGTGATGTTTGAATGATCTTGCAGTAAAGACTTGATCTTTCTGATAATCACTGTCTGGCTTCTAAATCTTGACCACCAGCCATTGGAACCATCTGGTAGCCCCCCCCCCCCATTCTCCTGTTAGTCCCTGGGCACAGAGGAAGGGTCTCTGTGACCACTGTCACACACTGGCTTGTGTGCCAGAAGTGGCGAGGGGGAAGTCTGAGTAAGCAACAGTGTTCAGCCTCACCTTATCATGCCCTGGGGTCAGTACCCTGGTTGGGATTTCAGGACTTGGGAGGTTTATTCACATACACTCTCTGTAACAACTGAAGCTCATTCCCCAGGCTTCTCTTCCTGTGCCCGAGTGCCAGAACACAGCTCCTCACACTTAGTCCTGTGGAAGCTCAGGAGGATAGGAGAAGTGAAGAGGGGGCTCAAAGTGGCACTTGGCTGCTGGCCTTCCTCAGAAGTACTAGAAGGCCAGGGGGCCCTGCAGGAAGAAGCCCCCACTGTCCACATAAGAACAAAAGAAAGAAGCAGCCTAATCCCAGGGGAATCAGGTTGCAGGAAAATAAGACAAACACAGCATTCAGCTCTATAGTTTCCCTCCATTAAAGATCCGTTTCAGTCTGAGTGGGTACGTCCCATCCATCCATGAGCCCCAGCTTCTCCCAAGGGCCTCCCCTCCTCCAGAGATATGGTGATAGCCCAGAGAAGGCAAGAGGAACTGGGCTTGGGGGCGTGGGGGAGGCAGACCCAGTGGAGGGCAGACCTGGGCTTGTGACCTGGTGCTGCCTGCCTGTGGACTCAGGCCATCCATCCCCATCAAAGTGTCTCTGAGGACAAGTGTTTCCCCTTCCTCTGTTCTGCCTAGAGGAGAATGGGGGTTTTGGAGACCCCAACCCAACCCCAAAGAATTCATCCAATAACAAATGTGGCAATAGCAAGTTATAAAGTGTGCATACTTGGCAAAATCCTGCTTAGTACATCTCATTTAATCTTTCCAGCAAGCCCATGAAGTAGGTGTTGCCAGCCGAAGGTGATAGGGGAGAAACCTGGGATGCAGACATAAGACAGCACCCCTAGCGCCTAAAGGCTAGTACCTAGGCAGAGCCGTGTATCCAACCACTGGACTTCAAACAAGGACATAAACCATTTCCACTGCTGCCTCCCTGCCTGACTTGTTGAGTAACTAGGGCAGGTGGAGTCTGACATACCAGGTGAATTGAAGGGAGCATCTATCCAAGCCTTCCCCCCCCCCCATACTGGGGCTTGAACTCAGTGCCTCATGCTGGCTAGGCAAACACTCTACCACTTGAGCCATACAGCCAGTCTATTCAAGTCACCTTCTAAGCATGCAGGAAAAGCCACACGCTTTCCCTGGTGGATCCCAAGATGCCACCAGACCCCAGACACGTCCAGATACCCATACCCAGTACAATGGACTCACTGGTAGGCAGCCCCTAGCTGGGTTAGAGATGCTAAAGAAATGGAGTTGAAAGACTATGACTAGATTCAGGTTCCAGCCAAACTCTCAGCCCTCCTTGGGAGATGTTGGAGAGGGGGGGGCTAAGAGTGGGGGCCCCCTCCTCTGCACACTAGACTGAAGCAGCCACCTCTCAAGACAAGTGCCCGGGTGGATGCCATAACTGTTCCTTACCGGCAGGAATGCACTGGGGCTGGGGCTTGCCCTCCTCTGGAGTGAGTGCATGGGGGAGTCAGAAAGGCAGGCAAGGCAGCTTTCCCAGGAGGCAGAAGATGCCCAAAGCCAAGACCTTTAAGGTAGAGCCCCTGGAATTCCACTCACACCTGTCTCCAGAAAATTGCTCTGAGCTCCAGAAGGTTACCAACGGACTGGAGGGTGACCCCTACTCCCCTACAAGGATGGGGGTGGGGGGTTGCAACAGGAGAGTAATCTGACCAGGAGAGTTTTGGTAGGAGGCTGTTCCCCCTCCCCGTCCCCCACCCTCGGCTTGCCATCCTGGCCCGGCGGCCTCCAGGTCCCCAGAGACAGCCAGGTGTGGCCTAGGATCTCGGGATGTGCAGGGGGAAGGGTGGCGTCTCTGCTCCTGGGGCGCTGGCTGGCTCGGCCCAGAGCGGACAGGAAGCTAGGACACCGGGGATTGTCTCTCGCAACCGCAGCCCAGCCCCAGCCCGGGAGGAAGTTCTGCCGAGCGCTCTCCGCCGGTGCCTCCCTCGTTATATTGTTGAACAGGAAACAAGGCAGCGCTGGAGCCCGGTGGTGGAAGAGGGAGCGCCAGACGCCGAGCCCACGCGCGCCTACTAGGGCAAGTGGGAGCAGGGCAAGCGGGCGGACACCCTAAGGTGCCCGGACTGGCGGGGCTGGACAAGGGAGGGGGCGGAGGGCGGCGCTGAGCTGGGAGGACGGGAAGGGTGCCCCAGGTGGCCGTCCTCACCCGGGAGCTCCACGCGTCGCCTTTCTTCGCACCGTGCTGAGGCAGGAGCTGCTTGAGCCCGGAGAAGGGCCCAGCGAGCCAAATCCCCTGGAGAGCTGGGGAAGGCGAGGGGCTGACTTCCTTTCAGCAGCGGGAGGAGACCAAGTCCAGGTCCCCAGCCGATTCGGGCATTGGCGCGGTTATGACCGGTTGCAGTAGACACAGGACACCTCCTGGCTAAAGGTGTATTCTTGCGCTTCAGGGATCCTTCCCGTCCCGCATCCCTACCCCTCTCATAACTCCCCCAAGGGAACTGAGGTGTGAGTCCCCTTCCCAAGCAGCCCGAGACACGCGCTCGAGTGGGCGTCCCTGCGGTGGGAATCTCCGAGTTTTTTCCGGGCCCCCGAAAGGGCCTGGAGAGACGGAGGTGCACCAGGATCGGGTAGTGCTGGCTTTTCGGCTGCAAAGAACTCTTAGATGATGATTCAGGGTGCAAATGGCTTCGCTCGAAATGTGAACGCCCGAACCAAACAACCAAATCCCAACCAGGCATTTGCAGAGCTGCGTGTCCGCGGGACGCAGGGACTCGAGGACAGCAAATCCTGCGGGGGTGGTGGGGGAAGCGGCGTTGAGGCTGGATCCTACGTAGGATTCACGACCGATTAGGGCACCCTGAGACGCAGCCCTCCCGGCTCCCGCCCCTCCCGCATGCCTTCAATTGCTCCAGGGCGCGTTCCCAATGCCCGCAGGGGCCCCGGCACAGGCAATTATGGCCCTGCTCTCCCTCCCAGACACAGCTGTGCTGAGGATGGGGACAGCCCTACTAAATGGCCTTCTCCTTTCCTCCGCTTGCCAGCCCCGGCTCCGCGCGGTCTCTCGGCCTTGCACTTGGAAGCCCCGCCCAGGGCGATGCTAGGGGCCTAACCTGCAGCCCTCCGCCGGCTCCGCCAATCCAGCGCATGGGCTCCCTGAGGCCAGCCCAGCCAACGTGAGTGCACAGAGGGGAAAGGGGGCGTGAGGGGAGTGTCCTCACCGGGGTTTGTTGGCTCAGCTCCGGGCTGCTCCCTAGCCTCGCCTCCAGGACCCAGTGTGCTCAGTGACTTAGTTTACACCCCTTTCCTCATGTAGGAACACTGGAGAAAGTAGAGAAGGAGCGCTTTGCCGTCCCTCCCAGACCTTGCTCCTGGGGTCCCTCAGCTTAGCAAAAGGCCAGACTCCCGGATGCTGGTGCCGGGTCACCTTTGTGGGGCAGGAGATGCTGTGGCCAGTGTAAAGATTTGGAGGGACCAGCCACTTACGGGGAAGGCCACTGAATCGATTTGTTGGCAACACACAGGCAGATTTACACGGGGGCTCTGGCCCCCCTCCCGGACACACCAAGTGCCAGATTGAGAGCCGGCATGGAGGAGGTGGGGAGCTTATGGTGATCACTCCTGCGAGCTCTGTGGGCCCGTGAGGACACCGGATGGATAGCCACTGTCAGTGCATTCTCTAGGGGCTACTCATGGGACTATGTGGGGATCGCGGGCAGGTGGGCAGAACGCGAAGCCAGTCCTTTCTCTGAGGCCGCCTGGGAGCTAAAAAGTAGGGGGCGGTGCTGGCGGGTCTGGGCGGGCCTGGCTTCGGTTCACGTGTGCGGCGAAGCCACTGGGGAAGTAAAGAGAAACAGAGAGAACCGGTTCTCCAGCCTTGGCAGTCGAAACCCCTACGTCAAGGCCCTTGGACTAAACAGGACAGGGACACCCCTAGGGTAGAGCAGCTTGAGGGCCGCCCCAGAACCCGAGCCCCAACCTAACCCTGCAGGCCCGGTATGCTGCGGAGCTTCCCACGGATTCCCAGCAGGCGGGAGACGTCCTGGTAGCAGGGCGGGGCGGGGGCCCGGGCAGAAGGGCTGTAATCCCCATTTCACCAACAGGGAAACTGAGGCGCAGCCAACTTTTAGGCAACTATGGCGTCAGCCTTATCGCGGGCAATTGCCGCAGGTCTTTGAACCAAGGCTTCCTTGGCAGTAAAGTTGGGCCAGTCTTACTCCCAATTTCACAATCACGGGACTGAAGTGAGGCACCACTCTTGAACACCACAGAGTAAAGGAGCTGTCGTAATTCCATCGTTGAGTGTAAGATGATTTTATGCAAGTCCTCATTTCAGAGATAGGGAGACTGAAGCTGGAACGCACAGGATGAGTGTAGGATCGGGACTCGAACCCAGGTCTTCGAACACCAGAGTGGTGCTCTTCCCGGCTCCGCATTCCTGACCTCGGTGGCCCCTCTCCTTGTCGCCCGCAGGGAAACGCGGTGGCCGCGATGGCGGCGGACGTCTTGGGGGACGTGTACGTGCTGGTGGAGCATCCCTTCGAGTACACCGGCAAGGACGGACGCCGCATCGCCATCCAGCCCAACGAGCGCTACCGGCTACTGCGCCGCAGCACGGAGTACTGGTGGCACGTGCGGCGCGAGCCCGGCGGCCGTCCCTTCTACCTGCCCGCTCAGTACGTGCGCGAGCTGCCCGCGCTGGGCGACCCCGCCGCCACCCCGCCACCGCCGGTGCCCCAACCGCGCCCCGCAGTCCCGGAGCCTCTGGCCTTCGACTACCGGTTCGTGAGCGCGCGGGCGCCCGCGGACCCCGACGGCGCCTCCGCCGAGCCTAGAGACCGTGCCAGCTCCCTGTGCGGCCCTGCGCGACTCCGCGCCGCCGGCCATCGCAGCAGCCTGGCACCCGGGCAGCCCGCCTGCCTGTATGTGCGGCCGGCGGCACCCGTGCGACCCGCGCAGTCCCTGGATGACCTGGCGCGCGCCGCCATCGCGCCCCCTGCCGGCCTCCTCGGGAGCGCGGGCCGCTTCAAGGCCTGCAGCGTGGCGGGCTCCTGGGTGTGCCCGAGGCCCCTGGCGCGCAGCGACTCCGAGAACGTCTACGAGGCCATCCCGGACATGCGCGACCCTCCGCGGGAGGACACCCTGGAGCAGGTAGCCGCTGTGAGCCGGAAAGTGCGCGGGGAAGTGGGGGGTGAGGTCGCACAGACTCAGGGTGCCAGGGGACCCCCGGAGATGCTTACTACAGTGTCCACCAGATTTAGGGACGCTCACTTTCACCAACCACGAAAGGAGTGGTAAATCGCACTGCAATTCCCAGGTGTCAAAGGCCCCAGAAGGCCAAAGGTGGCCAAATCACTTGGACTGCAAAATTGAACTTGAACCGATCAGAGGCCATTACTTGCCTTTATTCCACGTAGTGTGACTATCCATGATTTACTGCAGAAATGCAAATGAGCTTGATTATAAGGTGCTGTACTAAACCCTGCTGGGAAGGTGCATGCCCTTATTTCACCTTCCTAAAATTCCGACGGCTCTGTTTTCCGAAACAGGCGGGCTTGGAATGGGGCTGTGAGCTTGCGGGCCTCTCTCCCAGGAGCTTGGGGTGCGGGTTGGGTCAGATGACATACTGGATGTCAGGCATACATCTTTTACTCTGCTTCCACATTTTGTTCCTTTTTAAAAAATGCTCGACAGGTTTGTTTCAGGAAGAAAAAAGAAAAGTCCAGTTATTGTAAGGGCGTTTCCCTCATTCAGAATCCGGCTGTGTTTAATTTGAGAAATCGAGAATACGAGCACGTTTTTAAGCTCTTACATCGTCGGAATCCTCGGGCGCTGACATCTTGAACTTTAGTACTTTTTAGGGAGGGCCAGCCTGGGGGAGGGAAATGCGCAGAACCAGTTCTGACACATGCCACCAGCTGTGGAATTATCCGCCACTCACTTCCTCTCTCAGGGTCTCATTTGTTCTTTAACCCCAAAGGAGGGGGACAGGTGGAAGACCCCTCTAATTTCTTTCTTTGTACTTGCTGTCTTCACAATAAACACCGATGCTGCGGGAGCCAGGACTGAGTCTGGGATGCCCAAACCAAGGAGGGCTATCCTGTCGGCCAGCCGCCGGGCTTTCCTTCTGCTCGGTCTCGTCCTACTGCAGGGTTCAAGTTCTGCGGCTGCAGAAACCCGAATTTGACTCTGCTTGATCTCCTGCCAGCTGCTGACGAGCTGCTTAACTCCCCCTCCGGCTCGGTGTCCTCGTGTGTAAACAATCCCCAAGGAATAGGGTTGTTGTGAGTCTTAAAGGAGGTGGAGGCGTTGGAAGCACTTGTGACATCGTAGGCGGTGCACTGGGACCGACTGGGGTCCTGGGGCCATTTGCTCCCGGTCTGCGCGGCTTCGTTCCGGTTTCCGCAGGACATTCCGCCCCCTTGTGGCCAGGGTGGGGAACAGCACCCGGCGAAGGCGCAGCAGAACTAGGGAAGGTGCAGCAGAACTAGGGAAGGTGCCTGTGTCCAGAGCGCCTGCCAGTCAAACAGTCAGGCAACCTTTCTGGGCTAAGTGGCTGGATGCCAGTGCCCCATTCCCCGATGCTCCCCGTTCCTGGGCAGGCTCCCGGGACCAGGAAGTGGAGGATCTCCAGGTCCTCACCATCTCCTAAAAAGAGAAATCACCCTCGCCACCAAGGTCGCCGCCTAGTTGGTACATTTGCCGCTGCTTCCTCCAACTCCCAACAGGTTACCAGCTGCAGTGGTTTGGGGACACAGGTGACGGTGGCGTGGACAGAGACCTGGATGTTGGGCAGAGAGGCTGCTGCCTGACAGCACTCATGGCCCTAATTCACTGTGACTTCAAGTCCCCTAGCTTCTGGGGTCCTATTTCCTCCAATGTGTGGAGTACCACATGTGACTGCTTTTTATCATCAGTTGTGTCTCTTCATGCCACCCTGTCCTCAATAAACTCCAGAGATGGAGAGCTTGTTCTCCCCTGGGAAGGAAACCCCGCCCCCTGCCCTTCCTTGTTCTAGGCAGTATGGGAAGGAAATTCCTGAAAGGTGAGCCTGCCTGCTTTCCCCAGAGGATGTGGAAGTGGTCCACCCACTCCAATTCTTAATTCATTAAGCAGGAATTGATTGAATGCCTGCCAAGCCCCAGGTGAGCCTTGGGCTCCACAGATGACTAAAGCCAACTCTCTGGAACTGAGGGAGGCTGCCGGTGGGAGGGGACAGATGCCACTGTCCAGCTTGGCCTGGGCCATCTGTGGTAGATAGATGGTGCTGTGGCCTGTGGATAGAGGAGAGGTGTGAACAGACATGTAAACTGGGGACTTGCTGCCCCACCCCCAGCCCAGCTGCTAGCACTGGGAGGTGGAGCTTGCAGTTGGGGTGGGTGGCAGGCAGGACTTCCTGAGCCTTTGCCACGGATTTGGACTTTATCCTGCTGCTTTGGAAGGCTCTTAGCAGAGAAGGGAGTGAGACTGAGAAAAGACCCCTGTGGCCAGGGCTGTGAGAACGGGAGGATCTTCGTTGTCTGCTGAGCACAGGGTTGGTGATGGGAGGTTCTACAGGGTCTGGTGGCCTTTGGCTTAGAAGGGGGTAGGGGAGTGGCAATCAGGCTGAATCCCAGCTTCCTGGTCACACTAGTGGGCAGACGGTGCATTGTATAACCTTGTCATTCACCACTTACTCAAGTGGCCTATATTGAGCACTGGGTGTGTGCTGGTCACCAGGCTGGGTGTAGGAGACACAAAGTGCAGTAAGATAGTGTCCAAGGGGCTAGCGATCCTTCGGGCTCTCATTAAAAGGCCTCACAGTGGTTGAGGCTCTTACCGGTTCTGAAGGCAGCACAGGTGTGTCCATTTGCCCTAGGTTCAGAGAGGTTTAGTGACTGGCTAAATGTCCCCAGCCTGGGAGTGGCTGTGTTCAGGTCAGGCCTAAACATTCTGACCTCAAAACCCCCATGCCCACCAAGCTCAGTCTCAGTCAGGTGGCCTTCAGGGTTGGTCACCCTGTTAGTCTTGGCCAGAACAGTACAAGCCAAAGGGGAGCATTCTTGGGGGAGCAGGAGGCATGCACCCCAATTCCCCTCCCCTTGACACTGTAAGCTGGTGCAGCAAGGAACTGGACAAGGAGAGTGTCTGAGAGAGGGAGATGGAGGAGAGGGGAAGGTGCTGGGGTTAGGGTTAAGGGAGGGCACACAGAAAGCTTAGGGAAGCCAGACAGCAGCCCTGCTACAGAGCAGCCTCTGCATCCCTCCCCTACAGCTTGCACTGGGGGATTTACAAGGTGTGGTCACCATGCCTGCCCCAGCCTCAGAGGCGGGAGGGTCAGGGCCAGATCTGGACTGGAACCGCCCCTGCTGCCCAGGCATTGGCCACTGCAGGACAGAGTTACAGCCCTGTACTGCAACTTCTTGTGCAAACAGCCCGGAGGCTCCCCGTCACACCTGAGCCCACGCCTGGACACAACAGCCCCAGGGCCCTCCTTCCTCCCTCTTCTGCTGCTGGGAACTGTGAGTGACCACTGTGAGTGACCCCTGGACATGCGATGGGAGTCCTGGGGAGAAAGGGGACATGCTGGTTTGCTCGCTCTCTCCCCTTCCTCCCAGATTCCCCACCTGGTCCTTCCCTGTACATTTCCTGGGACAAACACCACAGGACAGACTCACCTGTTGTCCCAATTCTGGGCCAGCCAGGGGGTCTGAAAAGGGGGATTGGTGGGGGAAATGGAGGAGGAGGCCCAAATAATGTATGCACATGTAAGTAAGTGTAAAATGATTAGAAATGGGTGGGGGGGCCATAATTGGTAAAAGCAGGGAGCCTAAGTTAGGGAATCCCTTTGCCCCACCCCCCCCCTTACACCTTCTCAGATGCCAAAGCTAGGGCTTCACACCTGACCTGGCCTTTTCCTCCCAGTGACTCACCTGCTTCTCCAGGAGCCCAGCGCCCAGCCTATGGATATCACTCCCACCTTCACCCCACCTTCATGTCCCCTCAGAGTTCTCCCCACCCAGCAGTCCCTCCCCTATAGGCTAGGAGGTGGCTTTTTGCCCTGGGGACAGCTCCTTGGAGCCTGGGCTCATTGTCACCCTCAGTCTCTGATTCTCTTCAGCCCTCAGGCCTCTGAGTTGGACCCAGGACCCTTTTCCCCTTCCTCCTGAGCCCAGCAGTGGGCTTGCTCTGGATCTGTTTCCTCTGCCCTTCCCAGAACTGTCCAGTGTGGAAAGGGACCTGCATCAGTGCTGAGCACCAACCCCAATGGGTGGTCAATGCCAGGCACTGGGGCACAGGAAGGCTCTGTGACTGGGGGCATGAGGATCAGGACTGTGGTCAAGGCTGTGGGGTGAACTGGAGCTGGGGCTGGGTGGGTGGACAAGGGGACAGGGCAATTGCTTGATGTTGGGGGCGAGCCACTAGGACTAAAGAGGCATGGGGTTTCCTGATTAAATTCAGAAAGCTCTGTTGAATTCTGAAATTCAGAAAGGAAAAATTCTAGGGTTGAGGGGATTTCCAGAGCTGCTGCCCAACACAGGTGAGGCCTGCAGGACCCTTCTGTCCAGCTCAGCCCTGGGCTTCTGGGGGCCTCCACCCAGCATCCTCTGCTTCTGGCTGGAAGTCCCAATGAGGCATGCAGATGAGGGGCAGAGTCCCTGCTTAGTCCTGGAAGCAGAGGGGCCATCAGGAGCTGCCTCCAGACTCCCTCGATTTCTTCCTTGTCACAGGACTGGAGTGCTCCTGGGTGTGGTTGAATGTGCCCCTATAAAATGGTTTAACCTCCTTCTAAACATTTGGATAACAGAAATTTCAATCAGTCTCTGCTTGCATTTGGTTTCGTTCCATGTACTTGCTTCCTGGGCTTATGTGGTGGGAAGCTGGCCACAGGGCATCACAGTGGGCTGACACTGGGCATTGTGCATTCTCACTTACACTTCCATCAGCCAGGAAATGGCAAATGCCAACTGGGCACTGGGGAAGCAATGAAAAGGGAGGCCCTGCCTTCAGGTAGATTGGTGTCCAGGAGGCAGGACTGGTCAGCAAGTGGACATTTGGATGTGGTGTGGTGGATGCGTGTTTGCAGGGTGCTTTGGGGGCATGTTGGAGGCGGTCTCCCTCCTAGGATCTTGTTGGCAGGAGAAATCTAGGAACAGGCGATGTCACAGGGA